ACATCATACATCCTCCACGTCTATGACGTGAGTATATTATAAACGTGTATATTATGGATCATGAGAATGAGTAATAAAATACTTCAGAAATTCGTGAATAAAGCTGTCTGTCTAATATATTATTATATAAGCTATGAGAAAACATGTCATTTATTTTCCACATGAAAAGTGGTTGAGTGAATTATGTTATTTTTAATGTAGAAAAAAAAATAATTTAATGGTAACATTTTTTTTCTATACCAGTAACAGATTAACCAGATTTTTTTAAGAAGAGCATTGTCAAATTGTCTTTATGTTTATAGTTAATTTTATTCCCAGAAACACAATATATTTTATTTCCTTTATAATTAGAAAAATTTAGTTTTACCTGTCTTCATATCATAATAGTAAGAGACCTAGTGTGGCACTGTGATAAGCCTCAGTCAATATATAAGTTTACTTGTTTTCCAGAGACTATAGATTTAAAACATATCAGGTAAAAATAATATTACATACATTTTTATATACACAATAATTAGGAATGAAATGTTAATTTTGCTAAAGTAGTATTTTGACATAGACTTAAAAAAACAAACTAGAAAACCTTAATTAAGTGTAAAATATTGTATAACAGTGTACACAACATCGGTAAATATAGATATAACTTTTAATAATCAATCATATGCAAATACTATTCAAAATAGCATTCACGTTCAACGCAAAACTCATAATTCGATAAAATACTATAATGAGTGAATATAAATTTATTTTTTTAATAACTATATTAACTATAATGATAAAAAAGGATATTTTTTTTATTTTCATTTTATATGAACGTTTTTGATTTTTTTGGGTTTCTACTCATTGTATCAAATACGTCCATCCGTCCAAGATTCGTTACCATAGTTACCGATGTCATTGTTGATAAATCTATTATTTTAGTAGTATTACATTTAATTGAATTGTTGGTAAATTTAGTTTAGGTTTCTGTAGGTACCTAAAATTTTATAACTTAGTCAAAAAACATTCCCATAGTTGTAATAATTCAAAGTTTCCTTCAAACTGCACTGACAATATTAAATAGCGAACCAAAAGTATTTACTACCTTGATGAGATAATTTATACAATTTTATGAATTAAATTTCCTATTTGCATAAAATTTCTACACAAAAAAATGTACAACTACAGTAAGAACATTTTGTTTTAATTAAAGTTTCTAAAATTACAATGTACTACAAAATATGTGCTGCACAAAGATATATGGTAAATTTTTAATGATTATTCCATTACTCTCAAGGAACTATAATAATACTAATTTAAGTATCAACAAATCAAATACCTTGGTACAAGTATGGATTAATCATATAATTAATATCCCACACTCTCGTCTTGTCATAACAATTAACAACACATATGTTAATAATACTATTCTGTGTTCCTGTTATTGTAGTAAGAATAGTTTGAATACTTTTGTTTATTTTTAAATCGTTCCAATAACCTCTCTCAGCGCAATAGAATAAACGTGGTAGCGGGAAAATGGAGCGGAAAGAAACTATAATTTATAAAGTCTACATTCATCAAACTTATTTTATCGTTCATGGGCGAATGAATAACATTGACATAAGCAATATTATTAACAAACACGGAATGGTGTTATTATTATAGTACTCGTTTTTACTTGTTTCAGCAACACATTAACGCTTTTCATTGCAGTAGAATTTCCGTTGTTATGGAATTTATTCATGGTTCAAATATTATTTCATGAAGTTTATTCTGTGTACGAATAAATACATTTAGAAAACAACCTTTGTATAGAAGAAGGTTCGTTTCTAAAATATAGGTGAATCTTTATTTAAACATAAATTCACCAGACACCAGGTATAAATTAAGTTTGTGTTTTCTCATTTTATGCGAATACCAAAATACCATATTTTATATTTTTTCTGTTGTTCAAGAAAATATATGGTATTCACAAAACACCGATTTACATCAAACAAAAGTTATTACGATTTTAAAAATAAATTTTTTTTTATATACGAAAATTGTAAAACTCAATATAACTTTGTAGAGGTGGTTCGTTTAAAACATTTTTATCGTAAAATATGTTTTATATTTTTTATATTACTTTAAGGTTATATAAGTAAGAACATTATAGATGACGTTTATTGTGAGGCCGTGCTCACAACAAATTTTTGGGGGGAAGGGTGAAGCCTTAGCACACACATAGGTCCTGCCTTGGACGTATGTCGTATGTCCTAGGACGATATACCTACAATTCAACTGTCTAGGTAATGTGTGCGTAAAAAAAAAACAATTACATTTTTTTCGTACTACACTGATAAAACTAAATTACGAAATATTCTTTGCACAAATAATCACAATTGTAACAAATGTAACAATTGTAGGCCTTTACATTGAAACTAATGCATATCTATATCAATTATAGGATTGGATAAAGACCGACAATAATGGTTCAATATATCAACCTTCAAAATATCTGATGACTAATTTTTCATGAAGTTAACCCAAAATCGAGTTTTCAATTTTGTGAATACTTAAATTTGAGCCTCTTAAATTTGACAAAATATATCAAAATAAACATAATATTAGGAATATAGAACTGATAGGAGTAGGGTTAAACATTTCTGAAGTCTTAAGTTGACTGGGGGCTCTGGGTCCTATACCATTTATACATTCACAAATCACAGCACTGAGTGAGTGCAGATATATTGAATAACAGTATACAGTAGTCGGTATCATCACTATAATATCATTATAATAGTTATTATTTATATTATATAATAATACAATACATTTAATTACTCATACGCATCAGAATATAATATTAACACTCGCTTCTCACACTCTTATAAAATAACATATTGACTAGGTGTATAATAGGTAGGTATGTCATTCATATTATATTATATTAAAGTATTAAACTCGTTAAGACCGGTCGATGTCCAATCCCATTAAAAGTTCACAATAGTAGCTCGATCAATATTAACCACAATATTTTTTCGTGTAACATAATATTGTTGTTTTTATTTTAGTTGAAGACTTGACGTTCAATTTGTTTGTTTATTCTTTTTTTTATTGTTTATTATGATTTATCTATGCTTTCACATAAATAGAGATACACCCATATAATGGACCACCCGTCTTTTGTACTAGAACTTTCTGTATACTAAATTTAAATCCAGTTATGCATTGTATTAGGTATTTTATTGATCAAATAAGTTCTGAATACAAAACCACACAATTATAAAATCAAAAAACATGAATAAGTAATATGAATTACGCAATCATATACATCCGCAAGCCATTAATACGAGAAGTCACAACCGGATACAACACGAAAATATGCATTTAAAAATAGACTGTTATCCATAAAATATGTAACGATTAAAACCAGTAGATACAATGCCGACACGGAGTAGATACCTATCTATACTTTTTTGCGGTCATCATTTTTATAGCAATAATATTGTCATTTATCATCGTTCAGAACCACGGCTTAACGGTTAGAATAACAATATCGTATTACGATGCGCGAGCGTATTATATTACCATACATTATTTTATTATTATATATTATACGCTACACTACGTCTACATAACAATAAATTGTATTTTATCCAGTCGGAAACTTTGCAGGGAAAAGCCTCGACTCTGCAGATCGATGGGGAGGTGGTGAGCGGTGGTGCGACGACGTCCACTCTCCCGTTTGTGACACATTCTTCGACGACGGCTGATGACGGTCAAGTGCAACAATATTAAAATGGTAGTCTATCGATTTTTATGGTACTTATCGGCAGAGGTCGGAGAGGGGCTCAAAGGAACCTAGCCCCCCGCCTAAAAAATTTTTTGAGGAATGCGCGTATGTAGTTCACCTGAAATAATGTACGAACTCAACGAGTATTTGTATCCTTCTAACTATATGCACTAGCATTTATACTTATTTATGTGGAATAAACAATACGAATATAGCTCGATTTGTTTTGAACCATTTTTCTTAAAAATCTCCAATTATCTTTACTTAAAACGTATTAATTGTGTTTGAGTAATATTTTGCTATGTTTTACAGCACCCGTTAGATATATGGAACCACTATTGGTTTACACTGCCCAAAGTACCCTACTTATTATAATATAGGTTAAGGATCACTGGAAATGTATACAACACATAACTATTACTAATATTGTGTGCCACACGAAATATCGATAACGTAGTAAGTGAGCTTCGGTATTATAGGTGAGAAAATTTGGAGGTCGTTGTCTCCGGGAACGTACAGAATTTCCTCCGGAAAAATGTCGATGATACGCACGACAAAACGTTCGTCTCGCCGATAACAATACTGACAAGACGTAACCTAACAATAGACCCTCGGACGGTTACAACATTGCATTATAAAATATTATAATATGATATTACATAATAATATCATTATAGTCGTATCGTACCGACCGACGTCATTAGATTGGTGCTGTTAGACATTTCGTCGACGACAACAACCAAAAAAAAAAAAAAAACCACCTAGTAGTATAATAACTGGTCGTCGACGACCGCATATTGTTGTTTATTAAATGTGTTACACAACCATCGTCGAGTACCTACGACGACGACGACGACGACGACGACAACGGCGAAGGCAACGACGACAAGGGTAGGGCTTCTCGTGTCAATATTCGATATTCCGAGTACGACAGTATGTATAGTAGTGCACACGGTCGTATATTATATTATTATTGTAGAATAAGTCGTGAGGATAGTATCGACCGTCGTCGGTTGTTCGGCCGTTAGTTTCTTTTGTACGCTTTCCACCTCCGCCCGCCTCCTGGCCACCTCAATTATATATATTATGCGCTATACTTAATACTTAATGATTTTATTTTTTCTAATTGGATTTCGCTGGCGACGCATAGGTAAATAATAACAATACTGTGGTTATTGCCTATTTATTTATTATTTTTATTTTTTTTTGCCGATACAATACCAACCGCGAACGCCGTACCTACGCATTTCACTGCAACTAGGCATCGACAATTCATGTCAATACGTATTTTATAGCCGCACACTATAGGTACCGTAAACGTATACAGTGCGCCTCCGTTATAGGAAACGAACCATAATAATAATATATCGCCTACGGTCAAACGCCAAGAAGTCGTCGTCATCGTCGGACAACGTCGTCGTAGAGAATTTGTCGTGCTGCAGACTTACCGGTCGAATTTGAACTACGGCTGCAAGTAAACATAATGACAAATTGATATAAGATTTTTTTTTTCTTATCACTGGACAAATATGCCTAGTCGTATATTATATATATATTATGTTAACGGTCGTCGATTATTATTTATTTTAATAAATATAATTTATGTTATCGTCTGGAGTGAAATACAAATGTGATATTAGAAAAGCTTATTTCGTAAAAGAGAAGATAATTATAACTTAAACCGTATTTTGGAGTATACAACAATGATAAACATTTTGTATTTAAATATAAAATAGGTACAGGCAATATCATAACTTTTGAATACTAATACCAAAAAATTGATTTTAGATTAAGACAAAAACAAAAGTTATCATTCATTCTCTGTCAAACTCGACCAAACAAAATAAATACCTGCGTACTAAATTTTTGTTCTGATCAATATAATATAATATTGTACATCGGTACTTGATGGCATAGTATGTAAAAAAAATAAGCTAAGCTCGCTTACTGAGTGAAATTGCTTTTAAATATCTTCCGGGTAATTTATTCCGATAAAATATTTTGAATTTATTAAAAGTCCTAAGTACGTAAGTAACCTTCTTTAGAGTTGACGTTAATTGTAACGTATATGTATAATAGTGATTAACGATACAATAATTATTTTCTGTAATTAACAGCGTTAATGGAATATCTATAATTACTGTGAGTACGATAATATCCCATAAATCTGGTATAATTTAACTAGGAACTTTCAAGTTGGTCGGTAATTAGTTATCACTAATTACTGCATTTACCAAAAATACCATAAACGGTAATTAATGAAAATAGGTACCTATTATATATTTTATTATATGCAAATGTCTGCACGAGAAACAGATGTTAAACTAAATACCTACGAGTGAAACTATTTTTGTCTTCGACTACCTTTTTAAGAGGATGTGAGCGCAATATTTGATTCCTCTCTCCGACTCCCTTGCAACATAGATGAAACGCTTTCACCTAAAATTGTTTTTAATGATTTTTGAGTAAGCTTTAGGTAAAATTACCTATTAAAAAATTGTATTTGATGATATTTTTGAGGATAGATATATCGGTTTTATATTTTATTATTATTTGGCTTAGTATTCGACTTACAATATAAAAATAAAAAATAAAAAATTTTAATGATATTTAAATTGTTTTGAGTCAATATTAAGACCAATCAATACGTCATTTTCTTAAAAATATTGTTCTTAATCGATTTTGTAATAGGTGATTTTACTCTAAGATTATTCTAAAACATAAAAAAAATGATTCTGCGTAAATGCGTTTTGTCGTGTTGCGCGTGGGCCAGAGAGAGAAAACCAACAGTGCCTGACATCCTCTTAATGCTAAATAAGACTTTCATCCGAAAATAAAAAAATATTATTTCAATATGAAGTAGGTAAATTATAGAGGGGATATTTAATTAGTATTACGAAAAGGTCAAATTCAATAATACCTTAATTCATAAAAAACTGCCGTTTTTTTTTATATGAGAGCTTCTCAGTATAAACTATTGTGACTCGAAAATAACAGTGAATACACGATGGTGAATAATCGGATAAGTTATTAACTGTAGTATATATTTATGTTTTACAATAAAAATAAAAACAAATATAGTAATATTTAGAGAGAAAAAGTATATAAAAAAATCAACAAAAAATGTACGAAAAACTGCCGTTATACTATCCTATATTGAGTCATTTTAAACAAACCATGAAGCTACACTGAAGAAGGATTTTTTTTCTTTTTCGATGACCACTATTTAGTGAATTAAGTGCACCACCAATTTTAAGAAACCCTTATTTAATCTTATTAACTGAATGCTTGTGTATTATTTAAATACATTTTTTTTACGATTTTGTAATTCTCTTTACTACTGATTAACTAATTAATGTACTATATTAATGCTTAATGCATATTTATTAAAAATTATAAAAGGCAATCAAGCTTAAATATTGATTCGAGGACTTGGGAGGGAGGATATTGGTCAATAACAGAAGCTTTCAATGTCATACTTTGTTTCGATAATTTATTGATTATCAATTTTTTTCTATTTGTATTTAACATTTTTCTATAAAAGTCACTCACGATTTAAGATAGTATGGTTACCCAACGATCCGTTCCTAAAGTGGTATCACACGACCGAGGATATGAATCCAAAAGTCACGTGATCTTTTTGATCTACAGCGCTACCGGTGATAAAGTAAAATTCGTTAAAAAGTTATTAATTTAAATAGTAATTAATAATTTTATTGTTCATTTTGTTATTTATTTGTAATACCTATTCGTTAATTAGCGTACAAACTTTAATGAGATGAGTATATTACCCGCAAATAAAAATAGTCCACTAAAAACGCTAGCATAGTGGTATCTGGATTATTTCTTACACTGTCTTAACTTAACTCATTGAGCAACCATATAATATCTTGATTCGTGGAGTCACTATTAGCTCTCAGCAAATGATTTGGAAATACCGAAAATTAAATTATTAATTTTTTCTTATCAAAATGGTGTTTACTTCTAAATGAATACGTATAAGCACTTGTTATTGAAATATCTTATCCATCCGGGCCTTCGCCTTTTTATAAGTGTATAATTCAGATTTCTAGTCGAAATCGTAAAAACTCCTATAGGCAATTCTGTAGTTAAACATTTATATGATTTATAATTTGATTAGGTAAGACTAAAAATGTAAAAATGTAATAGTAGTTTCCTCATAATTTATTTTTACAAGAACCTAACAATCTCAAAAATACAAAAGTACTTACAATAGTTAAAACATTTCAACTTTAAATTTTGGCAAAATCGATACCTAACTAAACGAAAAATAACGATTTTAGTTATTTGGTTGTAATTCAAAAAGTAGTTATTGACTTAAGACTTTCGTTCACCACTATACGGATATTACTGATGATTATGAACCGTGCAATTAACAAAATATTAAAAGAAAAAATTTAGTCACATACTAAAATATTTTATTTACACCATTCTACCGTATTCATTCAAAGTTAATGACAGCTTCTATAAAATAATTTTTAATGCCATAATTATTAGTAAGTTATATGCGATATTTTTTTGTCGAAAATAAGATAAACTTAATATTATAAGTATGTAATATATTATCCATTGTCCATAGAAATATTATACTGTCAGACCGTCTACACTCAGACTCGTTTTTCATCGTATCCAATAATTTAATATTGAATTCAAATAACTAATCCATTATATTGACACTCTCATTGACTACAAGGTACTTTTAACACATATACTATACAGTAGTGAGTAGAGTCACTTCCTCTTTTTTTATACCTACTTAATAATGTGGTTGGTTTCTCCAAATTCGATTGCATACACGATATAATATATAAAACTGTACTAAAAAATATCAACGTAACTAATTACTATGGTTATAATATTGCTCTAATTATTTATTCATAATTTGTAAGCAATATATTTTTGGAACATTGTTTTATTTTTTCATTTACGAAAATTACTTCTTAATCCAACCAGCAGATACAATAGTAGAACTTGGAAACAACGAATAATTTGTATTAACCACTCATCCACCATCAATCACACCTTAGAGGAATCTAACCACGCTATTAACTGTATAGCATTTTTATGTTCCAATAATTTCATTGGGTTTTCAAATGTTACAAGTCGTATGATTACATAGCTAACAAATACACATTTGTCTGACACAAATATTTTCTTAATTGAAACTCACGGCTGTTTAATTTTTCTATAAATCATTCTTTTAATAATTACGAAAATACCGCAGTGCAATATTCTTATTAAACTTGAATAATATGCAATCACACACGTTCAGACGTAATGTGTTTAACTTGTTATTTATTTTACTTTTTCTACTTGACAGGAAAGTCATTCTGCTGTTTAGTAGGTGTCGAGTATGTACCTCGTCATTGAGTAAGTCATTGGTGCAATGGTACTGATATCTTAAATATTAGTTTATAATAAATCATCACATAATAAATAATATTATGATTCTAAGCATTCCCTGTCCTTCAGCCTATATTTCTAAGAACGTTTTTTCATATGTTTATATTTATATTGCTATAAGATATATTTTTTATATTATTAAAAAAAAGGTTCAACATTTTCCCAAACATAAATTATATATTATATCATATCAAAGCTATTATAATATTGTTTCATTTAATATCACAACTCGTTATCAGTCAGTACCGTTTAAGGTGTGAATAGCGTAGCAATGAAAAGTGACCATTTAGTCATTACGAATACAATTTTTTAAATTGCAACAAAATAACAATGACTAAGATATTTTTTTTGTTTAGATAGGTAATAACCAATTTCGTCAAAATTTTAATTTTAATTTTTATAAATTAAGTAATTACAGAATGTTTCAAATGTCTGTAAATAATATTCTATAGAATCATTTTTTATAAAAAAATAACAAATATCGCTATTGTATGTTTAATTACGAATGTCATCAAAATTTAACTAAATTTAATTTTAAATGTTTTTAAAAAAATGTATGTGGTCTTAAGTTGTTTACAATTCCAGTAAAACAAACGAATATTCATTTTTCAAGCCTTTTAAGATTTCAAGATTTCAGAATTGGGTGGTAAATAATATTTTTTTTAACTAACTGGTAAATAACTGGTAAATAACGGGTAAATAACTGGTAAATAATTTATACATTTTCATGATCTTGAGGAATTTCGTTAAATGTTGATCATTAAACCATTATAATTTTTTTTTTGTATTCTTCAGTTAAGTTATAAACAACTTCTGAGGAAACTTGTATTAAATTGCTAATCTTTGTGAAAACTGAAAACATAAATCGGAAAAAAACTAAGCAACAATTTAAAATGTCTGTCAAGTGTCAATATCACAAGAAGATCAAAACTCTTCTGGAAATTAGACAAAGTTTAGTAAAATAGTAAAATACTAAGTACAAATATTTGGAAAATTATTAAGCCTCTAAAACATTATTAATTTTTGAAATAATTATAAATTAAAATGAACAACAAAAAAATAAAATTGATTTTAACTGAAACTCGTATTGTTTAAATTTTTTTTTTATGTATTCCCAATCATTTTTAAAATTATATACTTTTGACTCCTCAAAGTACCAATTAGATATATAATTTGATACCAGAAACCACCATCAAAATCTAAGCATTTTATTGCACCAAACGGTGTCCAGTGTCCGCAAACAAACAAATAAAAATACACATTGTAAAATCAATACATTTATCGACCAGTTCAAAATTTAGTATAGTACCTAACTTGAAAAATGGCATTACTTGTTCCTCATGATGGTATATATAGTAAATATTTTATTATATGTTTGTTTTCATATACTAATATATTAAACATTTATTAAACATCACATTTATCCATTAATCATTAGCCAATTGGAACTTATACAACATAATCCATTTAATATTTTTATATAATATGTTCAGTGTCATATTTTTAAATTAAATAAACGATTAATTTGAATCTAAACGTTTCATAACATAAAAATATATTTTCAGTCTTCTTTCGCTGGTGGAGTGAATATCAGAAACCTATAGGCTATAACCACTATAATATTAAAGCTAAATCTTTAATGTATTAATTAGATTAATGTCAAACTGGGTGTACCTAAAATAATCATTGAAATATTAGATATAAAATATAGAAATACTTCAAATTAAATTAAATCAAACAATTAAAAGGGCAGTAACAATTTCTATTGAGTTTGCACTTCAAAAATATAATATTCATTTTTCAATTTATAAAATAAATGCAGCCAAAATAATTGGTAAAATAATGATTTACCTCAGGGTTATGGATAGATACACTTTTGACTGAAAAGTTACGCAACTGAAAATAATTGTATAAAATAATTGATTTTTTAACAATTTAATAACGGGGAGTATTTAAATCATTGAAATATGTTAAATTGAATACATTATTTAAATATTTAATCGATACGTAAATCAATATTTTTTTTTACATTTCCCGTGTATAATACATCATAAAGAGTAAATATTTTTTACTCTTCAACAAATAAATATATAGGTACTATACTGTTTACTACACCTAACCTTTTTTGAATACTAAATAATTATTATAAAATTTAAAAAAACTTTGTCTAAAATGTCCTAATGAAACAATAAAATATAATTGTATTACTTATAGCCATTTTTAATACGTGTAGGGTGAATATAATAGTTGACCCATAGTAATAAATAATAATCAAATTTAATGTATTAATATTATATTTACTGCAATCGCGTGACCATTACTTTTTCGTAAAAATATTATAATACATTACACGACAAACGATTCATGCTGGATGTGTGGTAAAATAATATATAACTAAGTACTGCAGAGAGAAGAAAATGGAAAACTATTTTGGACTGACTGAATCCGCTGTCGCATACGATCTCATCGATGTACCTATATGGCTATAGGAATCACAGACCCTCGACGATTAAATAATAAACCCAATTAATACTCGAATAAATTAATATTGCATCTAGTGAAAACAATATCCAACCTACGTTGGATGATAGAGGTGGGGTAGTCGACTATAAGTCGACATTTCAATAAAATATGTATTCGTTCGTTAGACCATTGGCGGCAGCTGAGAGATTTAACACGCGTAACAAGCGGGTATACGCTTTTCAACCTGTGACAAAAACGAAAGAAAAAAATCCACCCTCTACAGGGCTTATCCCCTCTGTATCGTAAATCGCACAGAGAGAATACTAATACCATAAAAATAGAAATGTCAAAAAAATAATTGTTTTCGCCTTCTAAATGCAAAAAATCGTACAACAATAATATATTATAATAAATAATAAAAGGTGCAGTAACAGCTCATATCAATACCTATATATTATAATGTATCATACATTTTTTTTAAATTTATTTAATTAGTTAATTGTTTCAAAATACCTATTAAATGTTTTCTCAAAGTTCTAAATTTAAAGTAAATACAAATAAACATATGAATAAACAAAGAAATGTTTTTTTTGTTAGTTGTCTGTTTCGTCTTCGGGGCAGATGTCTCGTGGTAAGGTTTGGATACCTATTTATATCATATTAATATCCGTTTGCCGATCGTCATCCTGCATGGCTGTGCTCACAAATTACAATATTATCATTATGTACACTTGAAATAACTTTTTTAATACGCCCGCGCCCACGTCCCGAAGTGAGTATACCTAGTATCAGTAACCGTGTAACACATCTATCTCACGCGACTACGGTCACAGGGGTGGTGTCGGGGGGTGGGTGGCACCACCTTTCTGTAAACATAATATATTATAATAATATACGCATAGGTGTAAAACAGTGGTGAGAAAACCGAGCGAGCGGGGTGGCGGTGTTGCCGCGCGGTTTGTCAATGGATGGGACGGCGGAGAGCGGCGCAGTGGCGGCGGCGTGGGTGCTCGTGGGCCACTGTGTTCGTTCACGCACACACACCGTGCTAGAGCACTGTCTGTCGCGCGCGTTTTCGGCTTTGATAATAATCGATATCGTGCCGGGTGCGCTGCGGCGGGTGACGGCGCGGGACGAGCGTGTTGGGGGAGAGCGTCGGTTGGGTGAGCGGGGCGGGCGTGTGCTTGTGTGAGTGTGTGTGTGTGTGTGTGTGTGTACGTGTACTAAGCCGTGTGCGCGTGCGTTTTTCGCAGACCCGACGAACGGACGGCGGACGAACGAACGAACGAACGAACAAGCGGCGCTGGTCGACGGCAGCGGCGGCGTCTGCGACTACCGCGGTATAAGGTCACTGTATATACGTATATACCGCGGCGGCGGCGGCGGCGGCGGCGACTACGACATACGCGGGCGCCGGCGGCGGCGAAGTCATGGACCCCAGTGTGCTTTCAGCGATGGACCGGGACGCGCTCAAGAAACAGATCGAAAACATGCGCTACCAGTCCACAATGGACCGATGGCCGCTATCCAGGAGCATACAGGCGTGAGTACTTTCTCCCACGACACATAATAATTTTTTTTTTTGTATACAATTTACAACGATGTATTATTTATATCTTTAAAATATAATATAACGTGTAATGTCATTGCAATATAATAGCACCTGGTACAAATAATAATAATATAACGACGATCATATTGCGCGCGGCCAAATCACACAACAAACGCGGAACAGTACATATATTTGATTATGGTATTAAGTTTTGTTTTTCGCCGTTCATAATAAATCGTACCGTTATCGTCGATGGTTCGCTCGATCAATCGTGAAGCGATTTCGTGCAACAACTTTTATACATAGATACCTACCTCGTCGCCGCCGCCTCACGCGCTTTTAAAAAAAAACCATCTCTCACGCCAAGCGCCTCGTGTCCCCACCCGCCCATGTCAATATCACTGTTTTTATTGTAACGAATTGATAACATGTTGACATGTCGTTACCGCCGACGACGCCTCTCGTTCGGGCCCCGACGGCTTTTCCGCGTCCATTCGAGACGGTCGACGCCGCGTATTATATAGGTATATGGATATGACGGCGGCGGCGAGGCACACTTTTCGCGCGCCCCGTCGACGGCGGCGGTCGCATTTTTTTTTATTCGCCCTCGGCCGTTTTTCGCGATCGCCACGCTGCGGTTGAAACTCACGCCGGCGACATGGTTTACGATACGTTCTAGTGTGATACAACGGGTAGGAAGCACTTCGATATTTCGTATGATTTTTATTTTTCATTACGCACACACAGCCCACGTACTTACACGTTGTTATTATGCAACGATTACTATACGACTTTCTGCAGCCTGCACGATAGCTTAAAAAGACCGCCGTCGACCACAACTGCACTCTGCAAGCATGTATACAGTGTCGCATTCCCATATCTACGGTTATAATTATAATTTATTATGAGTAAATACAGCACTTGTATTTACTATGCAAATATACGATTATGTACACACCACAACAATATTTGTGGCAGATGATAATATAAGGTTTATGTTTAAATATTATAATATTATGCACTGATGTCACGTACATGGGGTGAGGACGTCAGGTGGTACGATTCAGTCACCCCCTACTCCAACCATATACACAGAGCTTATACTACCTAGCTACTTATAGTATAATCTAAGTATTATATATTATTATGAAACTGTAATTTTTAACCTTTTTTGCATATTAATCAGTTTGATGAATAACCTTTCTCTGATTTGAAAATTTCCAAAATACGACATTTAATCAGGATATTTGGAAAAGGCTTATTTGATCAAAATAGGTCGATCGTGGCTGTCCAAAACGTTTCCCATTTGTTTATTACCTAAACTACTTTTTGATCTTCAGATATACAACATTTTAAATGAAATAACAACACAAAACGTATAATAATCACAAAATAAATACCTAGGTATAATAATAACCCTAACCTGTTTAAAATTGCATCAAAATAAATTATGATTTTTATTCGTAGGCATATTAATAATATGAACTATAAAAACCAAACCTAATAATATATATAATAACCTAACCTTCTGAAAGAAAATTAATTTATACAACCTAATTTAAGCCTGAATTAAATGTAAGCCACATACAAAACAAATGTATATTAATAACTAATGGCTTAGTAGTCGATGTTTTAACGTTCAATAAAAAAATAAAATAAACCTTACAAAAAATATTTTTATAAACGTTTGTAAAGAATATATTATAAACTATTGTTGATTATCTAAGTAGGTAGGTAACCTAAGTCAACACGACTATATAAATAATATGGTATCTATATTAATTTAAATACCTATTGAGATTTAGGTGGATTAGACAGTTTGTTTCAAAGTATTTTACCATTGTTATATTTCTTCAAATATTCCAAATTAACAACATACCTACAACCTCTATTATAGTATTATTATACAACAAAAATTACGTGTTCTGATTTTATTGCAATGTAATTATTAATTATTTAAATACTTACTATAGTACATATACTCTGTAATTCTTATTCAAGTCTAACAAAATAAGCAAGCTGGTTAACAGTTTGTTGAAGAATAAAGTATGGTGTAAATCTATTCAATCAAAAGTTATTTTTAAAATGTTTTGAATATTTTTACTCTTTTCAGTAGGTACAATACATTTTTTATGATCTTCGTCCATAAATATTATATGGGTACCTACTAGATGTATAACCCGACTTTTCCAGGAAAACAATGAACAAAAATAAAATACAGTGCTGTTGTAAAGGTGTATCTTAGTTTTAGTTTACCTCAGTTCACTGGCAAATCGGCATCGGTGTACCTCGTTTTGTAAACTAATTCGACTGAGAGAGGTGGTGGATTGGATATTATATCACTTGGACTATTTTCAAACGTAGTTTCATTTTCACGATATCTCTAACTTCTAGGAACAATCTATGAAATTTTCTTCAAAACTGGATGAGTAGTTTTTCAGTATATGAGCCACAAACATAAACTCATGTTTATGTACATTACAGATTGTATAGAAAATCTCTTTTTATTTCTATAACCAAAGACAACCCGATAAAAAAACAAAAAAAATTTAATTTTCGTGGTCCAAAACAAATTCCTGTGTGAGCCACTCTATATAAGTCGGAAAAATTAAACGGTTAACACTCCCTGAGTCAATAGAATATGTGTACAAAATTTGGTACCAATTGGATAAGTTGTTCCGTAGATTAACACGCACTAACGTACTAGCAAACACATAATCATTTGTTTGTGAAGAATAATTAATGAAGAAGAAGTAAATCAAATTTACTTAACAATAAACATACATGCCTATCTAACATATTATTCAAAATATATGTATTGGTTTGATAAGATATATAATAATATCTTATTAAGAACATGTAGACTAATAAGACATTTTAAAAGATATTATTTAAAAAACTTCTTTTCCCACGATTTTATCCGGTGGCCGACAGGAATCCAGCCCTTTCCGTTGGCCGTGTTATGGTATAAATCGTATGTAATAAAAGGCAAACTATACAAACCACGATATTTCGAAAAATGATTTTGAAGTAATATTTTGCGTATTATAAATTATTTGCAGAGGTTATTATGGTTTCGGGATATAGTAATAACGACTTGGTATAGGGTAACGAATATCAAATTCTGATTTACTTTTCTTACCCTAATGATTTTTATAATGCCTAAATTGTATGTAAAACAGCATGAGTATTTAATGTACTTCTACTCGGGTGTTTTTTGAACATTATATATTAATTTAACTAGTTAAATTAAATATGTTTAATTGTATATTGCAGTACAATGTGTAAATCGATAGGTATAAATATAGATACGTATATCATAATATTACATAGGTACCGTAGGTAATCGATTTGTTTATACATAGACAAAAACGATTGGTTCAGAAAAATGTTCTTATGCGAATGAATATTTATCATTTATTACAACAAGTACTTATTTAAACCTATTATAGGTACTACAGACGTGCAGTATTCAATCTTATAAATATATTATGGTGCACAGACTAATTTTACCAACATCTTTGTATCCTATTCAGCTATTTTATTTCCTACTTGAGAAAATAAATACATTTGTAACGCAACTTGAATTAAATAAATAATTTTTTTTTTATCAAATAACTAAATTCATTGATAACAATGTTTTATAGAAGCTTAAAATCAAATTGGATAGTTTCATTTTTGTAGAATCAAAAACTGCATGAAATACAATAAATTCTAATAAACGCATTTAATCTAGTATGTTCAGAAAAATGGTGGGTACCTGGTACACTAGGTAATAATGTACCTATGTTCTTAAAAATAGTTTATATTCCGTTAATATTATAATAATGTATGTAATGGTTAACAATGCGAGGTACATTAGTTTATTTTAAAGAAAAGTATTAATATAATTTAAAAACAAATATTATACTTGATATGTTGTTAATTTTACTATGAAAGGTCATTTAACGTTATTTAATTCTACATATTTTTGTTGTCTTTACTTAAACAGCGTACAATTTCTCGCTTAATAGTTAATATTGTAGGTAACAGCACAACATGTGATATATTGTAGAATTTATGGCTTAAGATACCACAAGACTAGTAGGTTATTAATAGAGTGATACTCCACTACTCTAGCCAAACCTTCACCCTCATCTGAGAAACACATGTTATTATTAATATAAAATATTTAACAAAAATAAAAAAATTATTTTCATATGTCTTTTTTAAATTTAATAATAAAACTATTAAGTGATTCAGAGTCATGCAGCTGTATATTGCCGTAAAACTATGTACTATAAAAGTAAAATTGTATATCTATTATAGGCTATAACATATTGTATATATTGTAATATATCATGTGAACGAATAAGTGTAGTGTGACACTGCCCAAGTAAAATATACTTTATGAACTGTTGATTCACGTGATATTATTTGACTTTTTTTTAAATGTCACTTGAAATACTTATCATATCCTCTTTAAAAGCAAAATATCAATATAATACTCTCAACTCATATGATCGTAGTAGCAGTGGTAAGTACTACAAAATTGCTTTGACTAAAGTAACACTACAGTTAATAATACTTTCCATTCACCCTATTTGGCAGGTTAATTCAAGCAGACCATTTAAAAAAAATATAAATGCATTTATGATGGATAAAGAAAAATAATTCATTCAACCAATTTATATAGTTTTTAAAGGCCCATGTTGTAAAGTTACAGTTATTAAACTATGCAAATTGTATTAAAGGAGATATGAAGAGTTTTTAGTTTAAAATTATTTATTTTCTCAGCTCAGTTCTATTAATAATAAATTAATAATTACTGTATAAAAATAAAAATAAAAATTTTAAAGTAGTAACATGTACACTCTTATTTAATCAAATTTCACTTGTATGATCCATGTATATTTTAATTATATATATTCATATGCTATATTCATAATTAAGTAATAATCTATAATACATGTCTATAATATTAGTTTAATGGCATTATCAATCAATTTGAAATAACATGATGATAATACTCGTATTATAAACTTGTGATGTGTAGAAACGCTATGCCGTTAATACACTTTCAAATCAATGTATTTAATATAGGTTATAAATATATAAAATAGGTGCAATGACGTGTACCTAGTAAAATCTGGATACTATAGGTATTAGGTAATGTATTTCGAATACTGTTAACTTAATTAAAACTGCTTAATCTGTGTAATCTGTGAACTAACTATTAATTAAAATTAAATATTAAATTTATTTAGTCTGTATAACCTAAACGTGTAATACAATAATGATGATTTATATTAAATTAAAAAAATAGTAATAACACTTTCTGTGATAAAATATGTATATAAAGATGATGTAATGTTTATAATCTGATTAAGAATTTATGAAATAATACATTAAATTAGAATCACAATAATACTTATAACTGAATTTACATTAATTTGTTGATCGAATTTTTTTTTAAAAATGTACATTTTTCTATCGCTAACCTATTTGTAAAACTGTAAAACCTAATAGGTAGGTAGTTATAAGAATACATGAAAATATGAAATAAAAGTAGGTGTTCCTATTAAATAAACAACAACTGCAAGGATCCATATGTATAATGTATAATAGTCATCATTCTAAATAACGCAGGATAAGGTTAGTGTAACGCTGGATATGACGTATGATAAGTGATGGGTACCTGATTATAAAATATTTGTGTATGAATAAGACTCCGAGAAGCATCATTGTATAGATTTGTATCGTAAACAACGATTATGAAAGACCGTACTTATATATGTAGGTATAATAATAAACAAAAATAGGTGTCAATATAATAATATAATAATGCCTGCTGCGTAAGTATATACTTAAGCAGTGCTATAAGTCATAACTGCTAAGTGCTAACGTGAGCGAGTGGATACCATACGTTTAAAATAAGGGAGGTGCAAGAGCTCAGATATTACGCTGTGTAATTTATTTCTGACTAACTTTATCTATGGAATTATAACAATAACATACTACGTAAAATAGGTCGATTATCCTACGGGTTAAGATAAAATTCAAAGAGAATGAAAAGCCTGGCGTCAAGTCCATTGTACTACAGTGATCTTCGACGACACGCCAGTATGCAGTATGCACACACTACGGTGTACAATAATAATGATTAAAAATACATTTTCTCGGCAACGAAATATATAATATTACTATTATTTCGGTGATTTGGTCTGCATCACGCATATAGTCATCCAAGTACATGCATAAATGATCACTGTCGTCATTATTTTTGTCTCAACACAACCATCATCACCATCGTATTGAATAAATACAATATTATGGCGGATGATAGATATCTTGGCTCACACAAACCGGTACCGGATGTCATTATGGAAATGTGGTAATCTTGTTTTTATCTGCTAAACCTTAAAAAAGATTTACTCACTGTAATGTAAATGCAAAATGTATTTAATTTATAAATTACCTGCATAATGCGTAGGTATATAATATAGAATAACACACATTAGTATAATATTATCATTACTTGATATCAATATTATTGTTCCACACTTATCTAGAAATATAAATATAATATAATACTATAATTTTCTAGTCTCTAGGGTTGGCTTACATTGATACCAATATAAAGTAATATTTTATACAAATAATAAAATAATATATAACATCACTCCACCTTTATTTTGCTAACTGATCATTTATAACTCTGGTATAAAAATCTGAATAAATAATATTACTAAATACTAATAAATAATAAATTTAAAAAAATATTAGATAACATTTATTAACATTTAAAATAAGATATTACACATTAGTACATTAATGTTCTCATGGCTCATCAAACACAATATTTATTTATTTATCTTCAAATTTGTACTCAATCTTGATTCTCTTTTGACTTTTACAGAGTGAAAATGCAACGTGTAATTAATCATGTGTAAATATAGTAGCTTTAAGTATAACAGATAATCCAAATGTCTTAAAGATTTGTTCCTGTGATTGTAAGTGTTTGCAGATCTCCCCGTTTCATTTTGAAATACGAAGGATTACAGTATTGACATTTTCCAGCCATATCACCGATATTTAAATATTCAGGTTCATCTGTTTGCTAGTTCTCTAATTGTTGTTTCTTTGATTTCTTCACGTTTCCGTTTATTCGTTTCTCTGGTTTTTGTTATTGTTCTTTTTTTCGTAACAGACGCTCATTAACTAATATCAGAAGTCCATTTCAATCCATCTTAAAATGTACAAAAGAAGTCTAATGTTGCATGATAATTATTTCACAAAACAATTTTTAAAAACTTTTTTTGTGTAATATAGAAGTACAAATATAAATATAAGAGCTGTATTCCCCTAACTTAGACCAAGAAAAATTGAAAAATATATTATATTATACGGCATCCAATGTATTTTAGTCTGAGTGTACACGGTACACCTCGATTCACAGGGCAAAAGTCGGTGTCGGTTAGATGTACCTTGTATGACCAATTTAGCCGAGATGGGCATTACTTATGTGGTAGATTGTATTCAGCGTTTGGTAAATTTCGATTTAAATGAATTTCTTGAGAAAATTGTTTAAATTTTATCTCCGATTAGGAAAAATAACAAAAAATGTAAACAACGCAGATTATTAAGTAAAAAATGTCATTGGCCATTGTACATTGTTTTCATAGAAAATTGTTTTAAGAAGCTGAACAGATGGCACTACGGGTTTAATACTATTTCATCTCTCGGTTTTCCAGAGATGTGAAATGGATCTATAAAACTATACTTGAGTAACTTAATATATACCAGCTCCGCAGAGATATATAGAAATTTAAAAAAAAACCTTTGCGATAAAATAAGAAGTTTCAGAGACAAATCCACGCCACTTTCTATTACTTAGGGGTGACATTTAGAAAAAATAACTTGTTACCTATGTATAATGTATATACTGGCCTAGTTTATATAAGGAACTATGGGGCGTGCCTAGAAATTTTGTTCGGGGGGGTTTCTATCTCCAGACCTAGCCTAATCAAGTTCCACGTATATATTATATTATGTTCAACTTTGATTAATAATTATTTTTATTTTTTGAGGAGGGTTTGAACACCCACAACCCCCCCCCCCCTAGACATGCTCCTGTAAGGAACCACTGTGGAAAATTTCAAGAATATTAGACCCAGCGGTTTGGTACATGCGTTGATAAGTTCAACTCAACAATTGTCAGTTTAGTCAGTTTCTTCTTTTGTAATATTATATTCATATAATAGATGTTAACTATTATGTTCTATTAAGTACGTATTACGTTCATAAAAAACAGCTGATAGCATATTATACGATGAACACAATGATTTCTAACCCTTAATATTTTTCTGTGTGCCATACGGCATACTTAGGTGAATAGAGTGGTTTAAATTGCAACCACAACAAAGTTTTTAAATTTAGTAGTCGAACAAAATATATATATATTTATTGTAATATATGAACCTATAATCAATTTCATTATTTTTGTTTGCTTCAAAAAGTTTTAATATTGGTTTGTAATCAGAATTAAATCTTCTCCCGAATTTTAATTTTTGAATTAATTATTAATTATTTAATCGAAATGATTAATAGTGAAGATAATGTACAATACTACAATCTTAAATGTCATATTTATAGTTTGAATTTAAGCTAAACATTTTTTATCAAAACACTATAAATGTCAAACTATTTTCTTATCAAATGGTATGGAATTCTGGATATAATATAATTTATGCATGCATGAAATATTTCACATGGTACAACTTTACCACATCATATAATTAATTATTTGAACTAAATGCTAATTGTTCAGAATCTCAAATGTATAAGTAACTATATAACTCTACTCTTATATAATAAAAAACTACATCTCCACAGTTCACATTCAATTCGTAAATAATTACGTAGGTAGAACCCTACCGTGTTAGAATCACTGAAGTACAATACAAAGTGTACAATTTATTTTCTCAACACTTTATGTCTCTTTGGCACTTTCTTCCACCATACCTATAAGTACTAACAAAGTGCATATTCCAAAAACAAAACTCTTAATTTTCAATAGTTAAATCATATTATATAAAATCTTATATTTATAGATATTACCTATTCATTCGATATTACAAAGTGTGCTTTGTCACATTGATATTATTATGAACGAAACGTATACACAGCATTTTAACGGTCTATTAAATCATAATTTATTCTGTCAATGCTTCGGTCAGCTTGTATTTACCACACCCAGATAGTGAAATACGAAAATCATTGAGTACCTAAGTAAAGTTCAGTTTGTTGGTATTTCAAAATAATGGTACTCGCATGTTTAATAAAATTCTTCACATAATAATACTTATTAGTTATTACCAAATAATGTATTATTTATGTCCGGATAAAAAAAATTGCATTCGTATCTATGGAGGTAGCCCTAGGTTTTTATTTTTAAAATAATAGTTTTTAAATTCGATATACGATGCACATACATCAAATAAAAATGATTTGAAGAGTGTATTTATTATTGAATTCTTGTGGTGAATATTAAACCATGTATTCAGGTGTGCGGTGTGCAGTACTTATATATAATATATCTAAAATTTAAAAATAAAATAAAAGAAAGTAATCTTGGTGCAACTTGTGTAAGTGGTGAATGATGGAAAAGAAGTTTTAGTGAAAACAAAAGTCAAACTGAGAAAATTTGGTTAAAAAATATGTCTGTGTAAAAGATTCACCAAAACTCATAAAACATGGCATGCGTGTTGTTGTATAAGTAAATGCTTAAAAACCGGTGCGTGCGGTGAAAATGGTTGTGACATAAATTTGTATTTTTAAATTTCTATGTACCTAATAAATAAAAATATTTTAAATGTTGTAATTAAATTTTTTTTGTTATTTTAACTGTTCACAGAATGAGAGAGTTCGTTGAGGAAAACGAAAAAACCGATCCATTAATCCATGCTCCAGACAAAAAGAACAACCCTTGGGCGGAAAAAGGGAAGTGTGTAATAATGTGAACGATTTTTTTTTTTTACACACTCAACTCGGCGCTGCCACCGCCGCCCACACAGCCGTGCCACGCTGCCCTGTCGGCTTTGGATCCGGTCAAACTTACATTTTCTTTACATTTTATTAACGCAATCATTTATTTTTTATTTGATGAAAAATATAAAAATAATTGTAACATTTCCAATATCGTGTATTTTTTCGTTTTATTTTGAATTATAAAAAAACATTTTTAATAAAAGTTAAAAAAAAATTATAACATAAAAACGAGTATTTTAAGGGTAATTATATAAGCTCAATAAAATATAAAAATAATAGTCTTGGTTTCAAATATGATAATTTAATTAACTAGGTAGGTCGATAATAATATGTAGGTAGGATGCGTGCGCGCCTTAATGTTATCAATTTCTGTGTGAGTACTTAAACGATAAATACGTCTTCGTCTTGTTTTTTGTTTGTTTTTCTTTCTTAATTTTTAGATTATATATCTTATATTATATGATTTTTATCTTTAGTCACATTATTATTCTAGTCACTGTAATTAAGCCCATCTCAGATATATTATTTATATCTCGTATACCTATATATTATTATAATTATAAATATTTATAAATATTAAATACTATATTATACATGTATTATACTTTTATTAATAAAATAATTTATAGCTAAGCATCAACAATCATCGTATAATGTCGGCCACTTTTTTTTGTAATCCATATTGCAATAAACCTGTAAGGCCCACCGAGGTTACTATAATAATAATATTATATAATATACACCGTTAATGTTTTATCCGGAATATATCCTAATCCCTCCCCCATCCGAGCTTAATTATATGAAATTTCGCGTCGTGACGTTTCTATAAGATTTTATACATTTTTTAAAAAAAAAAGGTAAGCCTGTCTAATATTTGTATAAATTAGAGTGTTAAAAAAACAATTTTAGTTTACTATAATTCATTTTTTTTTATGTAGTAGATTTTTCTGGTAATATTTATGGGCACCAATTACGTTGTAAGTTTAATATTTATTATCTATAACAAAAACGTTGTTTTATTTTTTGTCGACACTATTATATATATTACACTAATGTATTATGTCATTCGTAACACGTGCGTATGTTATAATATGCTTAATATATTATATTATACATGTAACGACGATTGACCGAAACAATGTTTAATATATATATATTAAGTATACATAAACATAGAAGAGTGATCGTAATACCATATTGTTCTGTATTCATGGGAAATAAAAACAACAACGATTCAGCATTTGATTTAATTTTTAGAAAACATTATTTCGATTTTACTATTATTATTATATTGTATTGCCAAAAATGTCTGTAAATATAAATATGAAATATAGATGTTTTTGATCGATTTTCGATTTTAGTTTTGTTTTGTCGTCATTGTCTTTTTTATGTTATAACTTTTTAAGTATTCCATCGTGTTGACCTGCACACACTTGTGTTAATAAAAACGCATGCTGACAGGGCACGATGGGTAGGGTTTTCAACAGGTACGAAGAACGCACATCAACCATCGGGCATTGCACTGCACCTATACTCTATAGTGTGTACCTATTGGCCATTACCAAAAAATATTGTATACCCATAGCCTATTAATTTAAATTGCTAAACTAATTTTCCAAGTCAATGTTTGTATTTTTAAAAAAATTTTATTTACAATTTGAACTCATTATTAATTATGCACCCAATAAAATCATTTCATTTTTACAAAAAACTAAATGATAAGCTAAGTTTGTTTTAAATTTTTGACTTAACTTTTTTTGAATTTAAATGTTATTAACCTAATTTTTAACTTAACTGATTTTTATTTGTATAAACTTAATTAATAAAAAAATTTTTTAATAAAATCCAAGTTAAGATAATTTATAAATAATTAAATAATAAATATAATCTAATTACTATTGATAATGCATATTGCATATACATTTACATTCTATTATTCCAAACTATATTACTGCCTATTAATATATTTGAAAGAAAAAAATAATAGCTAAAAGTTAAGATAGTTGTAAGCTTACATATAACATTTAACTTAACTGATTTAAAAAATATAGGATAACTATTAACTTTTAACTTTTAAAAATGTTTTCTATTAACTTAACTTAATTAAAAAGTATAGGCTTGGTTTTTAGATTTTAATCAAAGCCTTACAATAAATTCGTATTTTACTACAGTCATCACGATTTAGAACAGTAAAACTACTTCAACTTTCGACTTAGAAAGTGAATTCCGGTTTAAAAATTAAATCTAATTTTTACTTTGAGAGGTCAAAAGTATAGGTAAGGTACACACTTTTTAAAACAACCCTGAAAAACCAAAAAAAAAGCAAAAATGAATTTAACATACCTTAGTACAAATATTTATAAAATTATAAAATATCCTTATTAGAAACAGAGATTCATACAAGTTATTAATTATGGAATTAAAATGTAACACATTCATTACAGTGACCTACTCAATACCATACTATCAAAATGTTGTCTATACATCAAAACGACTGTCCCGTTTTTTTATATTATTTCAGTCATAGTGAAAAAATGTTAAAAAAAACTATATTTTTTTATGGAAATGTATTATTTCAAATACTCCAAACTATTTAAAAACATTAATTCAAAAAAAAAAACAAGAATAAACTCAGTAAATTATAATAATTTAAATCAATCATCCAGTTTATCTATGATCGTCACGTAGTTTTTTACATTTCATGTACGAGTTTCTTAAAATTGTTGTTCACTTCACATTTAAGTATCACTTATTCACATCATGTCACAGTATACGATATGTCATAGAATTATTGTATTACTGATGTGTAGAATAATTGTTTTAATTTGTTTATGGCCCATTCAAACAATCGAACTCCATTACTCATTCGTTTACATTTGAGTTTTAATATCGATACTATAATGCGATAGTGATGCAACATTCATTGTTGTATATTGATACTATCTTCCACAACAAACGCATACTTGAAAATTGACAATCGTATAAGAAACACATAACTTTGGAATGGAAAACGGAATTAATATCCAAGCGTGTTAATAATAAAATATCATTCCGGGGGCTGGTGCAGTGGTTATTATTAAAATATTATAAATTAGAATAATATGCGTCGGATATAATGTTATTAGTAGAAACCGATTATCGACTGTGTTATATTATCACATACGAGTTAGAATTAACCAAAATCGACAGATTATTATTACTCGACGTCTCGGCGTCATTACATGCGATGGGTATAATTGTACCATGGACAAATTATACTCATAATAGTATAGTATTATCACAGAATAGTAAAAACAATGCGTTCAAATTACACCATTAAAAAGTGTTTTCCATTAAATAATATTATATTTGTGGTGCATTATTGTCGTCGAGAAGAGTTATACCTTTCAGCAAAGACAGGCAGCAGTATTTGGAACTTGGATTAACTTGGATTTCTTCGTTTCGGATCCAATTTGGTTCTTTGAAAAAAAGTACGAAATAAAGGTTGTTCCGGCTCTAAAATCCGGTATTATTTTTTTTTTAAGGTAAAAAAAAAGTCAATAATATAATCCTTAACAATAAAATAATTAATAAATTAACCACACATATATATGATTATGAATCGATCTTTATAGCTATATAATACAAATTTCATATTCCTTATTGAACTTAAATAAGTATATTTTTAACTAAATTAAAAATGTTTGCTCGTGGGCACGAAATACAAATAATAAGCATAAGTAGGTACCTACTTTAATATAATAGGTGGGTAAAGGTACTCGTATAATATGGTTAAATAGTTTATTATATTGCATACGATATTGTGAAGGCTGACATTCATAAATGAAAAAAAGTTTTAAGCTCAGGTCGTAAAATATTACAATAGAGAGTCGAACGGCTACTGCTGCAGTTTATGGTTACACTATAAATATATAACTTTATATGGTTAATGAAATTGCAATTCCTCGTAGAATATAAAATATATATACACTATATTGTATATTTTATAATTCTATAATACTAATATGATATAGTTCAAACGGTACCTACCTATACCTATAACGGCTATAACCTATATTATGTAAGTTGGTTAATTATTGCAGTACATATATAATATAATATATACATTATGAACATAATAATACTAGGTATGTAAATAGTATAGCCGTATAGGTACCTAGGTACTTATACTTGATTATAATGACTTAGCTACAACTCATTTGCTACACTTCTATAGTGGGAAAATAATTTTATAATATCAGATTATGATGTAGCCCGGTATTCCTACGTATCTGTATTGCATAGACGCGGCACCTGTAGTCCGTAGTCAGTACATATTGTAGTCAGTACAGGTTGCAAGTCTCAAGACATTAGATTATATACTACAATACTTAATGATACAATAAGTAATAACTAATAAGAATTTTAAATTTCTGTTTAGATTTTAAAAGAAAAAAATTAAGATCCAAGATATTTCATCCAATATGTCAAAATACGATGATCACATTTTGAAGAACGTACCTACTATTCCAGCATTTAAAAAGTCGAATTTTTGACTATTTTTTATCTATATACTATTATACTATTCATACTTTTATAATTTATATTTTATTTTTATATTTATGTTTAGATATATTTTGTACATGTTGGCAACTTAAGTTCATAAGGTTAAGACCATAGGTAAATTTAAGTTAAGGAATGTCAAGTCTTGTGTTTCGAAAAAAATCACCTGGTATCTATTGAACTCAGATAAAAATTGAACATTGAACAATGAACATGTATAATATGAGTTTCATAAATCAATTTTAGAATAATCTGTAAAAACATTATATTTTATTTAGTTGAGCTTTCTTCCTATTCATTAATAACAGGAATAATAGAAATGAAATTTTTGCATCGTAACATTAGGTAGGTCATTAATTATTATGACTATGTATAAGAACCTACCTTACACAATATTGGATGCATGTAAATTTCACCGATTATTACCTTTTTTCGTGTACATTTTACCATTACAATTTTTTTTCGGATCAAAAATGTAAATTCCACGGATGTGATTTTTACTAATTTAAAAAAATTGGTACATTATTAACAATACTAATCTTAAGTACATTTTCAAAATCAATAACGGTATTTTTTAGATGAAAAAAAACCATATAAGATCAACATGTTTCGTTAATAATTTTAAAACATTCTATAAAATAGTCATAAGAGGACAGCAGGACACGATATTTTTATCTTTTTCATACGAAAAACAAAAGCGTGTAACGACTGTTAAGTTAATCATGCGTATTGTAAAAAGCTGCAAAAAATATTTCACGTAGTATGGACATTTAAATCATGTAAATGTTTCGTCCGTGATCCATACTGTATAATTCTGCTTTACAAACAGCTTCGAAGTTTATTTTACATGAGGATAAAAATGTATCTTTTTCATTACTATAATATTGAAAAAAATATTCGTTTCGACATGCCTGGTATTGAGTTTCATTAAAAAAATTATGAATGTCATCAAAAGAACTTCATATACTTTTGGCATTGTCCTTCTACCAGCGTTATACAAATTCATTTTTGCATAAGTGACATCTCTTACTTGTATTTTACTGTTATTCCATGTAATGAATTTTCGTCTAGTGTAAGTTTAACAAAAATTTTCCTCGGAGCTTCAAAATTATTTTCTGTTGCCATTCATTTTGCTCCAGTACTTTGTACTTTCCGTCGGGCTGTTGAAGTATACGTTAATTTAACGTTGCAGTGTTCGTTGGAATGTAATTGTTCATTTATTTCCAGAACTAATTATTTTTTTTAAATAGTGGAGCATTTTTTATCTCCACACAACCATTTTTCTTCACCAGACTTTAAGATCGTTTGCTTATCTACAAAACTTAAACGTATTTAAGTCGATCAATACTTAATAACATGTCAGCTGACTATATTTAGTATATAGTCTTGAAATCAACGGACGAAATAAAATGTGCCTAACGTAAAATATTTTATCCAACGAATTCGTATTGCGATATAGTAACTGATATTGGGGAGGAGTTTTGGGCCCCTGATAAAAGCTGTTTGTGCCTATGAGCTATATTACAAAAATTGTAATTGGTAGAGTTTGTTATCGGTGGAATTTCTTTTTTTTCAGATAGAAAAACCAGTGGAATTTACATGAAGTTATACAACCAACTCTAAATTCGGTGGAATTTATACAATCGCTCTTAATATTGTTTTATCGTACAGTCGGCGGTGAATTTCTTAAAATTATAATTTAGAATATTAAAGTATTAATTTCGCCTTCCATCAAAAAAGAGTCTATTCCCAAATCTAAAAATAAGAGATGAAGTTAGAATAAATCGAGCCAGAATAGGCCACACTCATCTCAGTATCTCACACACTCCTTCCTTACTCCAAAAACCCTGCCCCAGTATGCGGCGCATGCAAAGAAAACTTTTCCATCGATCACATCGTCGCCAGATGTTCAAAATACGCCGAGGAACGAAAAATCGTCTCCAATCCAACTTTCTCTCCGACTAGCGTTCAACGAAAAAAACACAGAAGCAATATAGAAATTCTTCCATACCGTAAATTTAAGTAATAAATTGTAAATATTTCATTTTAATTCTCTCGACCTGTTTTCTTTTTCTCTCTATGTTGTACAAATGTAAGTTAATAACCAATGATGTTGAAGCCGTACTTTAATTAAAAAAAAAAAAACAACATTGAAATATTTAAATTCATTCATTTGTGATATAAGTGTCGATAAACCTGAGCTTCAGCCCCCCCCCCCCCAAATCTCAAACTATATTTGCGCCTATATATATAAGTATTATTCTAAGAAAGTAATCCTTTGCGGGACCCCAGACGGATGTAAAAAGCATCAAAATAATTTTGTATAGAAAATATGCATGAAAATTGAAAAGATGGTTTATTAAAGGAAATAAACATTGCATAGTCAAAAACAGAATATTCAGATTTTGTAAGAAAAATTATTCTTTATTTTAAAGGCTCATTAGATGTTTCTCGCTTGTCGCACGTATCCACTATTGTGTGCTTTGGGACACGCCAACAGTAGGTCTCACTCGCCGCAATATTAAACAATAAACCGTATTTAGGTACGTACGCAGTGATTGTTTGTACAATATTGGTAGGTAGACATAATAATACAATAAAGGTGTGCTAATTATAATCGATTGACTTGTTTTCAAAACTAACAAATTTAATTTGTGCCTAATATTCGACGCAAGTAAGTCAAAACAAGGTAATATACATTATACACATAGTATTACATATGTTTAGCCACATGGGTACAATAAATGAGAAAACGAAGCGAAAAGTGTTCTGCTATAATGATTGTTAATTTCAACAGGTAGGTATATTATATTGATCCGTACCTGGAGGCTAGTAGGTAGGTAAACAGATAGGTACCCAATGCTGTAATAAGTTTCGACTAAATAACAAAACTCCGTCAACCATATTTTGTAGACTTGGGTGTTTCCAAAGTGATTGTACGACACGATTCAAAACCATAACATTGAAATGCGTTAAACATGTTTGTCCGCCATAGCTGCTAATATACATAGGTACTTAGGTAACGAAATTATACGAAAAGGGTCGTTTTTAGTGTGCATGCGTGCGCGTTCGGTATCGGGGACGTTGGGGGAAATATATAATTACGTAATTTATTAAATAATAACTTACACGCATATCTATATGCCAAGGTATATATAAATGTGCATGTACACGTATGCGGACTTAAGTCACGGCCGTAAGTATGGCGGGGAGGGGGGGGGGGACAGGCTTTAATCGCGAGGGGGACCATTAACGAAAGGGGCCGTGGTAAGCCGTAACTCGCAAGTTCACATGATATAGGTACATATTATACGGTATAGGTACCTATACATATGCCTATGCTCATATCCGTTTTAAAATTTAAGCTACTTACCTAATTGACAGGCATTGCTCACTTTTGGCAATTACTTAAATAGTAAAAAGAAAATTGGGATGTTTATTATAATATTTATTTGGTAACGTAACAAAAATGTTTATTAATCGTAAATATATTACTTTGAAAACAAAACAGCTATAGGTGGTTACGACTTAAGAGTAAATAAAAAATTACATAAATCATAATTATTATTTTGTACCTTTTAATGAAGGACAATCTAAGTTCAATAAATGAATAAATACGGGTTTTGCACAATTTTATTTGGTAGGTACTACTCACTACTACTGTACTAGTTTCTGAGTTCACGTCATTTTTACTGTTTAGTTTCAAATATTATTTAGTTGAAATTTCTAGAAATAGAGTTAAAAGCAATAAGTTAATATTTTGTTACCTACTGCACCTATTACTAAAAGAAAAAGAAAAAATTTGTAGTTACATAATATTCTAATATTAAATTATGAAATATCTCTAGAAACAAGAGGCTTATCGTCAAAATACTATTTTCTTAAACATTTCTTTAAATGTTAAATTTTTATACCTGTCGAATTTCATAAAAACATACAAATTCGTACTTAGATGCTTTTTTTTATTTAAATTTAAGTAACATAATAATCCTAATCTATTATATTTAATTAATATTAGTAGTTAAAAGCTATTAGACCATCCATTGTTTTGTAAGTTATTTGTTCTAATAGCAGCATTTATATAATTATAAAAAATAATGTTCATTAAGGTATAATAACAATTTTCAGAAGAAATAATTTTCCATGAAATCATTTATTAGGTTGTGTGGTGAAAAACTCCCCTCCACACAAATAGTCCATTTACCAATTTTATTCAGACTTAATTAAAACCAAATGGCAACTTATGGTTATTCTGGTTGAAATTTGTATTTGTTTTTGTGTGCCACAATTTATATTTGATTATTCATAAGTACATAAGTATGTATTTTTTATGCAGTCACAAATATAAACACAATTAGATTGATTATATTTATAATTTTAAGAATATAATATTAAGCAGACAAATATATTATGCATGCATTATTATAGTTGTAAGAGTGTACAATTCCCCAATGGCCATATTCAATTGAAATTAACCAACAACTTTTTATTTGTTATTTGCATTATATATTATGATTACATTTTATTAAAACTATATCTAGTTAGTAGTCACACATTTGAAACAATTAAAAATAATTTTTATTTTTAGTTGTACTTTGTTTTTAATTTTTTGGTATTTTGAAGAAATTTTGTTTTTTGATAAATTTGCTTCATACACTACTTAACTTACTGTGAAATAGCCAGTTTTGTTGAAGTACATTAACAGTCTAATTTATGTAAATTAAATCTAAATATAAAAGCTACAATTAGTGTTTTTATATTTTATACTAGTAATGAAATATTTTTTTAGTGTCCATATATTCAATTAGAGTGCATTTTTCTGTTTTTGACTTTAATTTTATTTATATTTTGGTATACCAACTTAAACTACTAGATAATGGTATCAAATTGTGCACAATTTTAATTAGAACTATTTTACAGAATAGTACATAGTCAAATAAGAAAACAATGTTAACAATAATGAATTATAATATAGGAATGATGACTTCAACGTTTATTTATCAATGTTAAAAGTATTAAAATAATTGTTGTCATAATTTTTCATAAACAATAATAAAAATAATCATATAAAATAATAGTAATAATAAAAAAATCATCAAAAACAGTTACAAAAGAAAAAAAAATAGTTAGAATTCACAAATGCAAAAATAAAATGACTAAAGATGCGAGTTACATACTTTTGTTATTTACACATGTTTACTGATAAATACAGTCATCTGATGAATAAAGTACCCCTAATAAAACAAGAGGTTATAAACAACCACGCAGTTTTACAATTATTGCTTCCGAGTAATAATCAATAAAATATCATACTGATTTACACAGTTCATCTTAATAGATATGTTAACTTACTTTCGGATCAAAAAAATTAATCGTCTTAACACAGATCAAATAAAAAAATTACATACTATGCATTGTTTAACATAAAATATACACTTACTAAACATTTTAAAATAAACTCAAATAAGTATTACTAATGTTATGATTTAAGTCATGATATTGTACAAGAGTTTCTTGAAATGTACGATGTTGAAATGCTCAATGGTGTATTTTTCAAATGATGATGATGGGATACAGAATGTGCAGGGTGACCATGTTGCCGTGATACACCCGTATTGTTGGAAGGCAATTTAATTTTTTTGGATGCCGAAGCATTACGTGGTAATGACATAGATAGAGTTGAGAAACTAGTCAATGCATATGACTTTAAGTGTGACTTAATTGTTACAGGTAGAGGCAACTGGTTTATACCATACTGGGTAGTCCTTGCTACAATAGCACGGCAACACAACTCTTGGAGGCTTAACACTAAAGTTTAGAAAACAAAACAAATTGTTAATTTTAAAATTCAAAACATAATTTTGATATACAGTACTTTCAATATTAAAATAAGATATACCTTTGTTTGATCGCAAAAGTCTTTCCATTCCATTTCGATGTAATGCTCGCCGTGCTAATTCACTAAAACTTTCTCTGATGTTGAAGTCACATAATGGACTAACTTCGAACAAAGTCATATGATGTTTTGAGGCATAGGATTCTGCTTCTTTGACACTAACTTGCCTTTTAAATGCCAAATGTAAACGATTGCCAACTAAGACTTTTGGAACTCCAGGTGCATGCTGTAAAAATTATAAATTATCAAAATTGTAAATTTCACTGAATGTACAACAATATTTAAGTATATAATCTAGTATTTAGTTTAAATGTATACCAATATTATTTATATTATCCATCTCATTACCTATTACTTTGATTTATAATAATAATTATTATTATTATTATTATTATTATTATTATTATTATTATTATTATTATGTATTATATTATTATTATTATGTATTATATTATCTTTACCCTGTAAGCTGTTGTTGAGGTATATTTTATCGTTTAATTTTTAAGCTGAAATAAAATGTTGTTTGTATATATATTAATATAATCATTGAACTTGAATTATATCATAGACCTGATAATAAATGATTACAAAAAAGTCTATAATCTACTTAATTTGTTTATTTATTAATTCCACACTTAGTAATGTATTATATAATATTACTAACATGAATCACTTTAATTTCTAAATTATTAATGTACAAGACTTCTCAGTTTATGCTAATAGTATTCATTTCTAAGTTACTAGCAACTATTTTGATCATACATGTTAGTAAATTATACAATGTGCCATGGTGTGGAGCAGTGCTACTAGCTCCCTGATGGGTGACCGCCAAGATTTTTAGCAACAAAACATAGCACAGATATGCATTGCCAAGTGTTAAAACCCAACCAACTCAAAAACCTACTAAAAATATACAAAAAACCTCCTACCATGCACCCCAAAAACAATGGCCTATGTTGCTGCGGTTTCCCTCTAATAAAAAAAAAACTTTATAATTTTATATGAATACAATTATATTAATAGTTAATATTAATAATACTATATTATTTATTTTAAATACCTATGAGAAAACTTATACTAATACTAGGTGAGTCTTATCATATTTGTATTAAAGTTATACACTTTTTTAAACATTGTTAATTATAACTGTTATTCCACTTTAATTAGATAAGTGAACAATTTAATAAATACAATTTATTGTTACACTATTGCTCACAGAAATATTATGTGGGTATTTTAAATGAGATAAAAGTATTTTTTTATCAGGTATGCAAAAATATTTAAATTTTTAATTAAATGTTTTAATATCTAATGTAGTAAATATTATTATAATGGTTAAAAACTAAAGAAAAACAAATTTTGAAAACACAAAATTGTCTTTAATGAAATATAATATTACAATATTATAATTTAACATAAATTTGGGAAATTTTTCAATTATGATTTCTTATTATCTAAATCTAATTTTTGATTATAAAATTGTTAAGTACCTACTACAATTAAAATAACTAAACATACCTCTTCAACTTCTTTTAACCATCTGTCTAATCCATCAAATGACCATTTATTAGTTATGTCATAAACTAACAAAACACCTTGTGCTCCTCTTGAATAAGATCTGATTATTGTGCATAAACGCCCTTGACCTGATGCATCCCACAGTTGCAATTTTACTCGTTTACCATCCAAGAGTATAATTGTAGTTTTGTATGCTGTAAACAGAACAATTGAACCAATAATTAATGATTCTTACTTCCTTAGAATCCAGATTGTGAAAACAAAATGAACATACTGAATACTTAAGTAATTATATAAATATAATATCCTAATATTTTTTATTCATTTGTTATATATATTATTAATTAATATTAATTTTTAAAAATATAACAATTGATTATCAAATAACATTTTTAAGTGTTCCGAGAATAGGATACCTACATACAAGTATCAAATTATAACTTATCTAGAAAAATATAATTATTTCTTATCTACCTGCCAAGTTAAGATTGAAGTTTTGTAATTCTAGAAATACCTACTAGTTGTTATTATGTTATTACCCACAGTAATAATAAATAAAAAAAAGTTTAGATTGACTTTTATAAGCTTTTATATTATTTTAATTACCTAGAACCAATTTTAAATTAAATTTGTTCATGCAAATAGAATATATTGTAATCTGGTTTAGTGTAACAAAAAAACTACCTATAGGTAGAGTAATGTGGTAAGTACAATAAATGTACCTAAAGAAATTACCAAAAATATGTCATATTACATCAATATATCAATAGTGATTTGCTATGTTATGTGTTTGTAAGACAAAGACAACACATGCGGGTGTAGCGCCCTTTTAATAGGGAAGTTTATATTTTTCAGTTGGAAGCAACCTCTTCTTTTAACAAAAATAAGTAAAAATATAGCCTAAAATAATTAGGAATCAGTTAATTGGTCAATCCAATTGAATATAATATAGGTATCTAGTATTGTACTAAAAATTATGCATTTTATACTAAAACATGGGTTTATATTAAGCAAAATGATAAATCCGTTAGACACCACCGTTAGAAATGGTAAATGGGTACACATCATACCACTTCCGCTGCAATATGGTGACTCAGATGATCCATCCTCGAGATCGTTGAGCATCTCTTGTTTACCCACATCACTGTCACCGACCAAGAGGAACTTCAGCAGGTAATCGTACTCTTTCTGCTGCGGACAACCGTCGGTGTCAAGCGACATGCCAATTTCGGTGAGTCGCGTACTCGTCAAGTCGTCATCGGCAGCGGCGGCGGCGGACGTTTCTCGCGAACAGGATTCCGGGTCCTTCGTTCAGGACGAGCACGTGAGGGCGGGCAGACGTACGATGAAATAAACTTGATCGGACACAAACGCGGAATATCGATTTTTGGCGGTCCAGAGAAACGAGTACTGGCTGAAATGCTGAATATCGCACAGGATCACAGGAAACACGCCAAGCAATAAGTATGTTGTCACTTGTCAAAAACTCAAACCTTTTGTTATCCGCACTTCGTACATCATCACAGCAGCCAGCAGTGAGCAGCTCACCAGCAGAGACAACACCGTGATAACACTAATCGATCCGTTTTGTGAACAGCTGGTTGCGTGTTAGCGGCGCCTCAAAGACGTTGTGAAACCCCGCGAATAGTATGAAAAAAATACAGAACCCGGCAAACCGTTCTCGCGCAGTCGCAGGCACAGGTCGAAATAAAAACGGATTCGTTTGTTTTTTTTGGTTTTTTCGGCACACTAATAATACAACTTTTTGGGTATTTTTTTGGCTTATAGTCCTTCATCGTCATAAATGAAAAATGTATTCATTTTCTATTAATATTTATGTATATTGATTGTTAATGCAAGAGCCGAGAAGGCCATAATATACCATTGTGCGGCTTTTATCGATGTCTTTATCGAGGAATATTTAGTATTTTTTAGGGCTTTACGGCCGTATTTCACTATTCGCCGACACTGTAGTTTTCAACAAGTTTATTTAACATTTTTAAAAGGCCACATCTCGTTTTGTGGTTATCAACCACAGATATAGTATTATTATCTTAGTTCATGGTTATTAATTTCCTATAAGCCTGCTTCAGTAGGTACCCTTAAATCTTATACTTACTAGTCTAGTCTAGTCTTTGATCGAAATCAGTACCGTGATACTTGAGTATATTATTATCCTTAATCGTAGGTATCGTAATATCATACTCAATACAAAAAGTGTATTTCATCAACAGAAAGTTTAATAATGTTGTTACATAGATCGCGCCGCTCTAAGAAAATACGAATTCAGAAACACCTAGACCTTAAAATCGAAAATGTTCGATATAATATCGCCCTCTTGTACTACAGAACAATAAAAATCTAACCGAGTGAGTGACAACTTTACTTACTAGTTCCCATGGTTATCCCGGTTGTATAATTTGGACATGAATTTGGATTACGGGGATCGAGGAGACCATATTTTAGGGTTCACCATAAAACCGGTGAGGCGGCGACGACGACATACGTCTTTGGAATGATGATAACTTTTTGTTGTTGATAAGACAGGCCGTACCTACCACTACAACTACAATTTTACTCACTGTAGGGATTAGTACTGTTGTGATTTGTGGAGATATTGAAATTTATCTGGTCGCTGCCACTCGCTACTGGTTGTTGTTGTTGTTGTAGTAAATATTAATGAATAATACGATATTAAGAAAGAGTGTCGTAAGAATTAGCTATACTAGTGTACGAATTGTTTGGTTGATTTTTTTTTCGTTATGTCATTGTTGTAGATAATAATAATAATTATATTATTATTTTTTTATTATTTTTCTATGACCGGCAGTGACCATTGCTGGCGTACGTGTGTTTAGTTCTAACCGTGGTGGGAGAAACGGTTTTATAAATAACGACGACCTTGGGTACCGAATGTGTGTCGCACGAGTCGTCGTTACTCGTTGAGCAACGAATTTTATCATAATTTATATTTTAATTTATTGAATGTCAAACGCGACTGCCATTTTCTATACTCGTGCTTTAGTCCGATCTCCCGCGCGTGTCCAAGTCGCGTGGTCTCATTCATTACCTTTTTCTATTCCATCGCAAACCGCGTTCCTGAAAATAATTAATACATAGCCGGTGCGAAACATTGGTCGAACATCGTAACAATAGTAATATTGTTATATATCACCTCAACCGGCAACACCTACTATACACCACTGCCTACGACCACTGACCTGTGTCGAATAACGACTCAGAAATGTACCCGTTTGGGGACATTTACTAAGAAATGGCCTGTAGCCAACTCCAGGACAACCTTAAATTGACAACAACACAACCAATCCAAGTCTGCACATTATTTGCGATCACTGGGTTACGTAAAGGCTAAATTACGGATTTAGTGAGTACCTATCCGTAATCTGATTAATGATTATACAAGATATGTGTAAGGTATCTACAGGTAGTAAATATTTGATAGGTAAAAGGGGTTTGTGAATAATAAGATGGCCACAAATTCCTATCTTACATGTTTTTTTTTCGTTAAAGCGTTCATTCATAATTGATAATTTTTAAATAAATAATCTTTTACTGTAAAAGCATATAACCTAAAATCAGGTTTTTTTTTGAATTTTATTAATGTTTTTATTGCCCTTATGTATGTAAAGGGTTTTTGAATGTCAGTTCTGTTTATTTTTAGTGTTATTTAAAAATTAGCAATGATAAAAATAAAAATATTTAGATAACATACCTACCTACGAATGTAGCATATTATATTAATGTGACATACTATGTACCTACTACCATTGTATTATAAGAAAATTATTTCATAGCCACCATAGTATTAAATTACATATTTGGAGGTCATTCATTGACATTTTTCAACTTAAATTGCATAGTGTTAACGCTATTTGTTGAACTTTAAAAACATATTTATTGCTCAATCGTTCATCTTATGTTTATTTATAGTAAGTATTTAATCATTACAGATGCAAAACCTATTTTTTATGTAACTATGACAAGTAAATATTACCTATATATTTTAGCTTAGAATCTTAAATTCTTAAATCTTGATCAATTTATCTAGGAACCTAAATATTAATGATAAAATCAATCAACCTTATGCCTTCACTAATTGTTTCTAAGTACATACATGCCCATTATATATTTTAAATTCCCAGAATCAGATTTCAAACGGAGTTATTTCGTGTATTTTGATAATTATTTCAAAATAATTAATCAATGTAATCAACAACTATTTTTATTTTTACGATTACCAAATATTTAACTAATTACTGATTATAAAAATAAAATAAAATTTATTGTATAATTTTAAGGAATATGTAAATAAGGATTAATATTTTTTAAATAATAATTAGGTACTCGGTAATACCTAAATAATAAACATAATTTAAAAAAAATTAAGTGTGGTAACAAAGAGGTAGTTAAATAAAATATTAAGTATATCTGGTTATATAGTGTGTACCCACTGGCTACAGTGTATTTATTACTTCATGCGACTTCATGTTATACCTGTTATACATAAAACAAATTGACTGAAAATATATTGTGTTTTTCTATTAATAATAAATAAATCACTTCATAAAAAGTACGAAGGTAATAACTCTTGTATATAACCTTGTATATTATGTATGTACATGCAGGTACATATCTTATACAGTAGTTTGCACAGATATTTTCAATGGGTACATCCATTTTGATTGAACACCCAAACCCTATTCACCTGTGTATACGCCACTGATCCTATAAAATTAATTTATGTGTCTCTTATATTTTATAGAAGAAAGATAAAGAACGCTCCAGTCTCCATGAATTCGGTTTGGACGCGGTGTCCAGTGCTGTTGCCACAGCGATAGCACGGTCAGTTGTTGCTCCATTTGATAGAGTTAAAATAATTTCTCAGGTAAGTTATGCTTAAATACATTTCTTGAATTAATAAAATTAATTTAATTTTGAACAAGTAGTTAAAGTTTGATGAGAGAAGTGAAGTGGCACATGTGTGTCCTGAAAATGTTGTTCTACTACTCCACTCATCTTAACTTAAAATACTGATATTTGATAATATGTATCTAAAATAGTTTTTAATTTTAAGTTGTTAAACCATTTTAATATTATATAGGTGTTTTTTTATTTTACTTAGGTTCATTATACATCTATTGTAAATGGTCAGCATAATCAAAACTATCATCCAGGAATCTTAACAACATTAAATCAAATTTATCGTGAACAAGGTTTACGAGCACTATGGTTTGGAAATTTTACCAACATTTTGAGATTTGTTCCATCTCAGGTATCTACAATATCTTAATATTTTTAACATTTATTTGAGACTATTTAACTATTTTATAAATATTTAGCATGAAGTATATTAATATTTTAATTTAATTAGAGTTGTTTTGATGGTTACAATGTTTTAGAATTCAGGACATAGGTTAGGTACATTATGTAGTGATTTATTTTTTTATCATATTGTACAAACACTTATTACTCTGGTAATTTTAATTTTAAATATTGTATTTCAAATTATTGCTGCGGATCGACATATTATTTAGTTAAAGGCCTAAAGACCAATATGTTAAGGCAAGAATAACAAAATAAATTTTGAATTGATTTTAATATGATATAAATCAATGGTCAGCAACCGGCGGGCCGTATCCAGCCTGCACGTCTTTAAATTCTATGACAATTCTACAATATTTAATTGAATATCATATCAAAATAATCATTGTATATTGCAATGGTCGGCATTATTTTAAAGTTTTAAACAATAATTTTTTGCATACTCAATAATTTTGAATACAACATTTTTATTTTTGTCTGGCCCTCAAAATCTTTTTAATTTGTGATTGTGGCCCGGGAGTCCAAAAAGGTTGCAAACCACTGGTATAAATAATGAGTATTAAAAGAACAATACCATTACTGTAACTATTTTAGAAAACTATTACTTTATTACTTAAATTATAGTATATTATAGTACTATTTAGTAATAAATTTATCCTTAAAATATGTACTCTCAAACGTCTAACCAGGTAAAAATAGCCTATAGGTATATTCATAAGCGTGCACAGGTCCTCTTGACAGAGGAGGCAAGACCGTAGCTATTAAACTATAGTACCTATATTGATATATATGGACTATACAGTCAGTCCAAGCATACAAATACTAAGACAGTTTTCAATAATTACCTATTTTTTAATAATAATAATGTTTTCAAAATACAAAAATATGTCATGGTTTCTTTCTTCCAATAATTAAAAATAAAATATTAATTTTGTATGTGTTTTTATCTCAACAGGCAGTAATGTTTGGACTCAACACATTTTACCTAAAATTACTTTTGGGCAATATTAGACATAAAGATGATGGATGGAGTCATACTACTTTAAGTCTGATATCTGGCGGATTATCCGGTGCAACCACATTATGCATGTTTTATCCACTACTTTTCTGTCAAACTCATTTAGCTGCCCATGTTGGACCTTTGGTTGACCGTGAATATACTGGATTACTGGATTGTATACAAAAAACTGTTCATACAAATGGCGTTCGAGCTTTGTATACAGGTATTTAACCATAATAATTGATTGTATTAGATTTTCTTTGCTATCCACACATAAATTATAATAATACCCTTTATGTACAGGATTTGCAATTGCAGCTAATGGTATGGTCATAAACAAAGCTATTTACTTTGGAGCTTATTACAGTTTTAACAAAACTATCCTAGATCACAGTAATAGTCTAGTTTCTATTGATGAAAAAGATACAAAGTTACCATTTTGGATACGTTTTGGAACCGCACAGGTTGGACATTCATTATAAAATTAAGGTAGTTGTGTCGTATGCTATAACTGTGTAAAATTGTCTCTACACGTGCTTTTATGGCGTCCCTGGCTCAATTTCTCTTTGAATAATTGGAAGCAAAGTAGCTTGGTCTCTTTTTTGAACAATAAACAATTGACATTCTACTATCTTACTATCTTATCACGTCTACAACACACTCCATTATTCTAAATACTCACGGTCGCTGTATGCGTAAACCGTAATTTTAATATGTTATTTCTGTATCAGAAGTTCTAGATTCTTATTCTACAAGTTCTTCTCTAGACTTACAAATTCCTAGATGTAGACAACCACGGTTGTACTTCTACTTGCTTAAAATAAAGATTTGTCTATTTCGTATTTTTACTTAAATTCCTACACCACCCATTTTCATAGGTCCATTTCATATTTGTAGATATCTACATACCTTGTGCCCAATACCAGATGTGTTCTACTATACGGCATACACTTAATCCACTATTACATTTTCCATTAATATCGATATAAGTGAAAAACAAATTCTTTTTATGATTAGAGTGATTAGACTAATATTATAGACTAAAATTAGGCCTTATGATAAGTTTGACAACCCCGTGTTTGGCAACATAAGTACCTATTTTGATTTTACAAGTTGCCCATCAGAATTTTGTTTCCGACCATTTTTGTAACATTCCTTAAGAATGCCACCCACACTTCATTGTTCACATTATAAATTTTCTTACAAACTTCTTATTTAAGTAATACACGTTTTTGGTTTTATGAATTCATACAAGTTCCGTCCATGGAAATAATATGTATTTATAAATCACCTATTGAACTTATTCTGATCACAAATACAAATGATAAACACACACGAATAGTGTACCACGACAAATTGTATTTGTAGATATCATATGTATTTTTAAATAGCACACGACATGAGCATTTATTATGTAGATAGCTTACTGCATCACTACCAAAATTAATTTTAAATATGTATTATTTACATTTGTAAAAATTGTGTATTTAATTTATGCAGGTTGCCACTTACTTGTCACAATTATTCAGCTATCCTCTTGACACAGTTGGCAGAATGTTGATTGTTCAAACCGCACAAGAAGAAAAATTGTATCTAAATGCCAGAGACTGTTTTACTAAATTATGGAAATCTCAGGGTTTATCAGGCTTATATCGAGGAATGTTGCCTAATATGATTCGCTCTAGTGGATCGGCTCTAATTCTTGTGCTGCACGATGAATTCAAATGGATACTGAGTAAAATGGGTTTATTTGGAGACATTCAAGACGATTAAACGATAACATCCTTCCTTCTACCTACTACTTTTTCATGCAAATATATTTTTAAAAAAACTTAAATGATTGTATAATGTTTAATTGTTAGTTGACGCCATGCGATTCTAGTCAAGTATTCTTAACCTTGTTAGTATCTGCGACCAATTATTTGTGAATATCATGTACCATTTAAATACTTGTTATGGATAATAAATTAATTATAATTGATTTTCTATACGATTCAACTGTTAAAATGTTTTCCTAAAATTATTTTTTCTTAAAAGTTTTAAACTAATTTGTTTTTTAAAATAATCAAATATAGACTATAAACGCTAATTTAATATTATGAACCATGTCTCAATGAAAAAAAGAAAATTTTTGAGTTATAATTGTTTTCAATCTGTATATAATTCGGTAAATTCCTTATCTCATCAACTGACAATGCAATTAATTATAAACATGACAATTCAACACAACAATTAGATTTTTCTTAGTAATTTTAACTTTTAGTTACTTAGTTGATAAAAATAATTTACTTATTAAGTTTCAATTTTATTTTTATTTGTTATGAATATGTATTGATATAAACTCATATTCTGAATTTTGGTTCAAAATTTTAAAATTGTTTGTATTATTATGGTTTATTTGATGATTAAGTAATTGTAAGTTGTAATGACTAAAATAAAATGTGTCCTTATTTATATGGTAACTTTTTTTAAATGGTTGAAACATGTTTATTTACAGTACAAATCTAAACCTTACACCATGATTCAATTAAAATTCATCATTCTGGTCTGTGTTATTACTTACTATTATGGTTATCATTTATTTATAATTAATACAAATTCAAATTTAACAAGGTTAAGGGCTTAAGGCAGCTGGATATGCAAAAGAAGTTTTCTTTAACAAACAGTGTATATTTGTTCTAAATATCAACAGTGTGTTCAACGATAAAGGCAACACAATATATGTGAACGCAACCTTAAATTTATTTTAAGTTTATTTTTTTTCTTTACTGTAAACCATTAATAATATCACACTTCATTTTTGAAAACTACTGAGCATTCTCAATTTTGATCTCTGAAACTAGCTAGATTCACATTCTCACCAAAAAAGATACTGAAGTTAAAATCAAAACATTATTTTGACTACTTACTTGTACAAAAGAAACAAAAAAAAACGCATTGTACAATCAATATGGGATCTAAAATATAACATTATATGTTGGATGATTTTGGATAGAAAAATGATATGTTAAATTAATAGCGATGATGATAGGTGGCTGTAACTAAATTAGGGCCGCTTGAACTGTGATTTTCGCGGACCGATTTTTTCTTTTACCCAATTTAGCACAGGACCAGTTGTAAGCTAAAATTTTTCTTAAGTTTCTAGTAAAAAAAAACCAATGAAGAATCTAGTATTGAATATCTGCAATTAAAGATCTCATCTATATTTAAATTTTAAATATATTAAAATATTTCTATCTTATCTATTTACTTATTGTTAATAGTAGTGTAATATTAGCAACCACATAAAATATATAATAATTATTATTTTCAAGTCTAGATTTTAGAAAATTACAATTCATTGTTTATTTTGGCTTTAAGTTTAACGTTTTTTTAATATATCTGCTGTATTGGAAAATTATCAAATCGATGAATAAGAAACAGTTCATCTGAAAACTGAAAAGCAAGAATCAATCTGAATCATAATATTGTATTCAATTGTATTATACTCAAATTTTATTAGCGTTAATTATATATCTCTCGACACTATGACTCACCGTCATTGATAAATTGACTTTTATCAAGAATATTAAAGTCATTCGTTTTATAATGTATTTATACTCTATAGTATCTTAGTTCATGGCCCGTATAAAGTTATACAATTATATTAATTGACTTCTCTTTTCATAAAATACGCTCGTTTTATCAACATTGTTTAATTTATCAATCTCCAACAATAATTATTCAAAATTAAAATATAATATGTACAACAATCTATAGATTAACTACTGCATAATTATATAAACTCCGCAGTTAGCCCGAATTATGAGGTATTGCATTATGTTATTACATAATCATCAAAAATATTATTTTACTTTTTACACACGTATGAAAATCTATCATAATAATACTATTACATAGAAAATATACTATAAAGTTACATAAATATATCAGCTATCTTTACAGGCTGCTACTTATACCTATAATTAATAAATAATAATCATATTATCTTACATGCCTAGCTATAGCCACATAGGTAGGTAGTTAATATTATATTTATATTATATTATATACGATATTATACCTAACACCTAATATATAAATTACAAAGAGAAGAGATTTTTATTATTTAATATTTTCTATTTTGTTACCGACGATATGGACGAGAACCATGCAAATAAACCCATAATATGTAACTCACGCACCTTACCTACACATGCCTGCATTACCTATGCAACCCAATAAACTAGAATCACGAGAATAAGTGACCCGTTTCATCACGAATGACGTGCATATTATGATGATATTAACAATAATTAATATTATTTCCCTATGATCTGTCTTTGATGGTCGGCGCCACAGGCGACTCGACGTCATCTTTGCAGGCGCCATCGGTTTGGGTTCCGGTTCCAGTTCCAATTTCGACCCCGTTAAGGTGCTCGCACAACGACCGCATTTCCGTCTGCTGGTGGGAAATGGTCATGGCGATCTTCATGCAGTACACGACGGCCGCAACGATCGTGATGATCAGCGACACCAACGCAATGCCACCGAAGATGATGGTATTGATCCGCAGCGGGCTGCTGTACCGGGGCGTCTGCGGCTTCCGCTTGACCTCGTACACCAGGTTGCCGACGGTCACGATGATCTCGTCGTTGACCAGGACCGCCGGTAATTCGTCCTCGTCGTCCTCGTATTCGTCGCTCTGGCCTTCGCCTGAACGACCGTCGCTGTCCTTGAACGTCAGCCGTTTGGGCGGCCGGCACACGATGCGATCTGATTCCACGGACGTGACGTTGCACGGGACGCCGGTGTTGTGGAACAGGACCGTCAGGTCAGCATCGTAGTCGTAACCTTGGTCCATGTTCAGGCCGTACACGGTAACAGTGCGTCCGTCTGTGTCGAAGTCGGTGTACACCGGGTCCGGGTACAGAGTGTAGTCGGGAGTGCCGGTCGGCGGCTGCATCTTGACAAAGGTGTTGTTGTAGTCGGCCTGGAACCCGAACTTAAGCGCGGTCACCTGGTGCGGTGCGGGACGGTTGATGGTAGGCGCCGTGCATATCAAGTACGTGTTGTTTTGCACCACGCACCCACCCGTGTACTGTATGCCGTTGTACGACACGTGCACCAGTGGGTTGTGGATACACGCAAAGTTCTGGCCAAGTACCGGCAGCTGGGTGCCACCGGACGCTATGCCCCGGAACGCCTGGCCACCGTCCACAGACGGCGAGGACGTGTACACGAATGGCGGATCGTGCACGTACTTGTTCAGATAGTGGTCGAACTCGATCCGGACCGCAGTAGTGGAGGGACCGTCGCTGGCACCCGTGATGCACGTCACCTCGTTCTGGCTCTGTGATAGCACCTCGCAAGTAATGTTTTCCCGCATGTACACCCGAATAGTGTTGCCGGCGTCCAAGAATCGGCCGCGGATCGTGATCTTAGTGCCGCCGGTGGTCGGGCCGCAAGAAGGCCATACGCTCGTTATTACCGGCTCGACGAAGTAGAAGCTCTGGTTGGACCGAAGCGTGAACGTGGGTAACAACTTGTCCTCCTCCGACCTGTAAGTCACCTCCACCGGGCCCTGGTTCAGAGTACTCGTGTTGGTCGGCGATATGGTGCACTTGACGGCAGTACCGTCCATGGACACGGTGGGCAACAGGCACCGGCTATCGGCCACCTTGATCACGGTCACCTTATTCTCGGACAGCGTCCGGTGATTCTTGATGACGATCCGTATTGTCGTTCCACCGGCCCACGATCCGTACAGTGGTGAGATGGACTCGATCCGGACCTCGGGACATTGGACCAGCACGTCTTGCAACGGTGCTAAGTGACCAGGGTCGGCCAGCCGACGGACGTCGCACTGCTGGTACGATCCGGTGCACGGGTTGGTCTTGGGACACCACTGGCAGTAGTACCGGTACACGGCGTCGTCCCAAAGGCAGACCTTGCACTCGTCACTCGGGCCCAGCTGGTCTTCGGTGACGCACGCGTTCCGGGGCACCGTGAAGTCCAAGTAGTGGTCACTCTTATCGTCGAACGCCAACGGGACGCCGTTCACGGAGGTTGCGAAGTAAACCATCGACGACAGCGATGAGTTCACGGACTCCAAGTAGTCGGACTCGCACGTGATCTGCCGCCCTCCACTTTCCACCTTTCCAGGGTACTTCATCTCGTTCAGGTGGCACCACACCCCTCCCCGTTCGAGCAGTGCCCTGAACGTGCCGGTCGGGTCGTTGGACACCTTCACGTTCACCGTGCGATTTGTCGTGTTCAATTTGGTCTGTTTCTGGTAGTTGACCTTGAACCGCGGACACGACCCGGCATCGCGCACCGCCTTGGTCGGTGGGTGGTGGTGACCGTCGTCGCCCGGGTCTTCGACCAGTTGTTTTTCCGTCGCCGCCGTGTCATTGCACGACTGTCGTACCAGTGACCAGCTGCAAGCGGGGGCCGCGGCTGTGCATTCTGCGCACGTGTCTCGTGCCACGCAATCCGCGGTCACGTTGGGCCGCATGGTCACGGTGGTTTGTTCTGGTACGGTGGTCGAAGGCGATTCGGCCGCTGCTATCATACCACTGCCCGTCGTCATCGAAATCTACATATTACGGTATATCAGTGACGCAAGTTCAGGGATTAAAAACGTTTTTAATTTTTGAGCTTTCGGTTTTTATTATCAACAAAATAATTATTATTTTTGTGAATTATGAATATCATTTTCAACATATTCGTTTTAACAGACCCACTTTCTACACTATAGTAATATGTCTTTAAGTTTTTGATTTTAATTTTGACGTCTTAGGATTTTCTGTTTTTGATTCTACAATAGTTAACATTAAAAATAATAAATAGGCTTTTTTGAGAAATAATTAAGCTCTATAAAAACCAATATAATGGATGAAAAGAGTACTATTATTATATTTGTGTTGAGTGCAGGTCACTATGTGGTCTCCGTCTCACAAATGGATAGCATTGCAAAATCTGAGTTCAGACTTCAGAAGCTTCAAATTATTTTTTTTATAGTGCTATTTAGTGTGTTTACTTACAATTCACAGTGGAATCAGTTAACCTATGATCAAACTTCAAGATAAGAACATAATCTATGTTCTCGCACAATAAGAGAGTTTTTGACACTATTTTAATTTTTAAGCAATATAATACGAGCATTGTTAAATATGTATTAATATTTTACTCTAGGTAATTATCATAACTGACTTAAAATTAAACTATCATAAAAACACCAACGAGAGAGAACAGATAATTAAATTCATAGGTCAATATTTAATGTCTCAATTAATTCTAAAATTTAAGCTTACAACACAAAATTTGATTTGCTGTGTAGGTACTATGCTATGCTGTGCGTTAGTAAGACGGAGATAACACATTATGCCTTACGTGGCACTACTTCCTTTCAAATGTAAATGTACTCAATAATAAATACATCTTTATTTAACGTTTCTATAATAAATTCTGATACTGCTTTAAAGAAAAGGTATTTAGTGTTTCTAATCCTAATGGCATTGTTTTAGCAAACTTGTACCTACGTAATGTCATGAAGGTTTACATTTTGAAACAATAGTAACCACAATATTAATATATGATAACTAGTGAGTGCATATCGACAAATTTAAACGTTTAAATGTTTAAATGTTACTGAGATTATCACCTAAACATCTAAAATGCATTTTTGTATTGTTCATTCAAATATTATGTGCTATTAATCTGAGTCTAACGTCCAACAAAATATTAACTATTATTATTTGACGGACCTTCTATATAAATTAAAGGTTTTACAATTGTATTATGGCTACAATTAAATACTTGTTTTGACTTTATGTAATATTCTTCTCTAAATTGTTTGTTTATCAAATTTTTTACAAAAAATATCAATTGACATAAATGATATAATATATATTTTGTATGTTATTCAATCATTAATTTAAGGACTGCTAGTTTTATTATCTATGGTATGTCTTTGACTAATTCTGAAAATTGAGCAATTAGGTATCACTTTTAATAAGGATATATTTATTGTATTAGTAATCATATACAATTATTTTAATTTAATTTAATTTAGATACATTAACATATTTAAAGTTTAAACTATTATAATATTATGAGGTTTCATGCATTGCATATGATATGTTGATTGTTGATAACAAATAAAAATCGTATACTGAATTGTATGTTAATATATTATAGCTACACTTATAAAAGCTAAAAGTGAAAGGAGGTTCGTTTTTTAATTTTAATGCCCATAATGTATAGATATACTTACGATCACTATTGCCAGCCATAGTCTATTAGCAAATAAATGGTTCCAAGAACGTTTTTTTGAACGTCTGCCCCCAAACATATTGTTATCTATGTTTGTATGTTCTCCTGAAATGAAACATTTATTTAATTCCACAGTTTATTACATGGAAATATTTTTGATTTTAATTTATTCCTTTTTTTTAGACATTTTAATGAAAAATGATTAATAAATATTAAATTGCTCTGTTTTTGACTTTCGATCTCAAAATGTACTGTATGTTCGATTAAATTATTAATACCGAAAATCTCTGTACTTGTATATAAAATATTAAAAAATATGGTGGATAAATACAAAATACGATTTCAATTTAGTTTACTAAATGGGCATGGGTACTGAACCTAGTGAAAAAATATTAAATTTCCGTCTCATTTAATGTCGAATGCATTCTTAATGTATGACATTTTGAAACTTTAATGTGCGGGGAAATACTGTAATAGGTCTTTAATAGAATATTATATGCAAAAGTAACAGTTATAATTGAAAGGTTAGAAGTTAATTTAAAGTTAAAGTGTAAGCAAAAAGGTGAAATTAATTTAAATTTCAAGCTAATGTTAAAATTAAATTTACTTTTAACTTAACTCTTTAAATTTCTTCCCTAACTTATTAGGGATAAGCCCGACTAATGCCCGAACTTAGACTAAATCGCTCATTAAATTACAAACAGTTATTAAATTAATATATCAATAGCATATCTTGTAAAAACTATGACAGGTTAGGTTATGACCTAGGACAGTCTACTACACGAATCGGCTTCCTGACTTCTGCGGAAAATAAGTATAATATCTACATAAAATTCAATATTTGTGTTCCGAAATATAACATTTTTGTGAAAAGATGTATAATTTATCGGAAAAATGTTCACGTAATATTTAATGATGAAATATTCGAAAAACTCAGTAAATCGGTAAATTGTGTACAAAATCGGCGATGGAATTTTTTTTCAATTTTTAAAAATGTATGATAAATACTTGTTCAATTTTTACTTTCTCAAGACTTTAATAAAATGTGTATATACTATGAATCCTTTTATTACTTACATCACCTATTCCCCTAAAATTGTTTTAATTTTATTATTAATTATATTATTGCCTGCATCCTACTATTGAATGTTTATAAATTTACTTACTTGCTGTTAGTGCCTTGTGAGTTATGAATAGAAAAATATCGTAACCGTACAAGATGTATTTCTAAGTATATTAACACCTAGATTTTATTTTCAAAAGTACTTTAAAATTTAAATAAGCAATTACATTTAACTGTGATGCTCGATCTTCTAGCGTTCGAAACGTGTTGTATCTATCGCAATTACTATTCAAGTAACTCAACCTTCGTCTGAAATAAATCATGTTCTTAAAGGGCTATTATATATTTATCATATTTTATGCTTATTAACTAATGGGCGTAGTCAGATTATGTCAATAGTCGATGGTTATACAATTATATATAAAAAATTACGTAGGTATAGAATATAAAATATTGTCGTATTACTCGTATTATAATAAAATTAACCTATTAAAAATATCTCCCTAATTTAGATGACATCCGTCCGTACAGACTACAGTACTTATATTAACTAATAAGGGAACAACAATCCAAACACAAATTCAAGCACAATCTAACAAAGAATATATTTAGCATAAACAAAATGCTCCAAATTTTAAATTAGTACTCCGATGAAGATGAAGTCCAACAAACTTTGAAAGCTGCACAACAGTGTTCAACAAACCGCGATAACTTGCTTAGTATAAAAAAATGTCCATATAAACTTACATAATTCTAATATAAACATACAATGAACATTTCATGTATCTAAGTATATTTTTTTAAGTTATACCTGCGTCCTTCACCAAAAATCAAAATCGTTTTCGTCAAAAACTGGTTTTGCTTAAAAATCTCAGTTTTTTATTAATTTAATTTTCATTTATTCTTACGCTTTTGAAAGCTATCTCGAATTTTTTACTTTTGAGCCCCAAAGTACCTACTAAATTCACATTCCCACCAGAAAAGAAGCTGAGGAAAATCAAATCATTTTTACTGCTCCAAAATGTGATGATAGGCACAAATAACAAAGTGCGTGTTGCGAGTACGTGTTGAAGTAAATCTTCATCAAGGGGTATGAAAAAATAAGATTGTCACCCAACACGATCGAATATTAGGTTTATTGGAATAGAATAAAAATAATTAAATTTTCAATTTAAATTCATTTGGTATTATTATTATTTTACAAAGATTACTATTTATTAGTATTATTACCATTTAGAATAACCATAGTGTCTTGAACTCGCCATCTTGACTGGTAATAATCTTCTTTTTTCGTACCCTCAAAGGGCCAGCCTGGCCATGGCCATTGAATGACAAACTCAGCTCTCCTTAGTTTTTTTTAAAGGGTCTTAAATTTTTAACTGGCTCGACGTGTTCCTAGTTTATGTAGCTAGTAGAAACAGCATAAAGTATCCATCGAAATATTTAACCGTTCGTAATTTTTCTTTATAGGGCCCAAGACCATTAATTAAATGAAACCTCAAAAAAACTAAGCCGTGGGCTTTTAGTGTGCCAGGCCCCAACACTGTCCCCACTGTAAAGAAATTTTTCTTCAAAAACACAAATCGTTGTGAAATCCATACATCATCGATACTCTCAGAAAATCTAAAATTGAAAAAAAAACGAGAATTTTTAAAAGAACATTTGACATTTTGTGTTTCGTTTTTATGCTATAAATTCCAATATATTATATATATATATTATTAGTAAGGTCAAAAGTTTGAATGTTTAATACTAGGTTCTTTATAAGTTGTTATAAAAGTAGTTGATAAATTAAAGATTCAAACGCACGATTCTTTTAAAACATATTTAAGTTAAAATTTTAATAAAATTGATCGAAATTCTTCAAAAACATTTTCAAATTCTTTGTAACTAACAAATAAAAAGTAAAATTGTTATAGCTAAGAATCAAAAAATGTAATACAATGATGAAAAATCTTAAAAATAAATAAACACATTTGTTTTTTACAGACATTTTACTTTTAACTTTGAACGAAATTACATATTAAAACCAAGAATAACAATTATAGATAGTTTGTTATAATTTAAAAATAGTATTCGTAAAAACTTACGTATAATATTCAAAACATTGATATTAATTGTATGCAATTGTGTATTACTATAAAAAGTTAAACATTATTATAATAATTAATAGCGATACATGTATGCCCACAATGACATTTTCAAACGCAATTTTTTTGGCAAAAAATAATTTAATCTACTGCAGTTCTAAATTACTTCAATCATAATATAAGATTTGCTTAGTTAGTACTAGAGTGATTATTGAATTCAAAAATTTAACACATCCACGGTGGCTCTTTAGACACATAATAATGTACTGCACTGCAGCGTTACCAAATTACCTGCTTTTTTCAATTTATGTATGATACAATGTTTGCATGTGAGTAAAAAATATTTTAAATTTAATAGAAGATTTCTCAAAAGTTGTTCACATCACAATATTAAAATCGAAAAAAGGTACTATTTACATATTTTATGAAGTCGAATAATCAGAATAAATAATATAACTATTTTCTCAAATAATTACTGTTATTTTTTTATAAATTTATATGCGTAATTTTGGTTGTACTTTTCGATCACATGACCCGACACACTCAGATAGTCGCCTACCACGATATTGATCTGTTTAGATGATAAACCTAACTGAGTCGACGATGACTGTGACAGCATACAAATTATCTGAGTGCGGTGTATCGAAATGACCAAGCAAGTAGCAATGGGACGACCAGGTTTCAGCCACCAATACAATAGAAAACTCCACAGCGGCGTAACCTTGGTTAAGGTAAAAACCATTTACGGTAACATTGGCACATTGCAGAAACCGTCTAGTACGAAATCCGTGAAAATCGGATCATGATACAAGTGATAACCAGTGGTCGAAGTGGGAGGGGGGTTACGGAGAGATGACATCCCTCTACTTTTTTTAATTTACATTTTTCATACCTCCACTTATTATCTCTAAAAGAATACATCCTCTTTTATATTAGATATTCAACATATATTCAGATTTTTGATTTATACATATTGGTGTTTTTAATAAAAATGGAATTTTTAACTATTATGAATTTTTCCAATGTTTCTTTTAAATGAGTTTTGTCAAGAAACAAGTTTAGTATTTTTTTTCTTTAAATTACACTGCGACGCCTAAATTAAATAAACCTAAACGTCATTTGTTCTAAAATTATGTCGATAAGATAACAATAAGAGTATAATCTTAATTCAAGTTTAGTTATTTTTAACCTACTCTATGGAATTACCCAACAGCTTGGTGTGGTGATGAGCAGCTGCTGTAGACTGTATTGTAATTCGTGATTAAAACAATAAACATAAGATTATTTGTATTTCAAATAATTTGTATCAATTCAATATATTCAGTATTTCAGTGTATCACGATTCACGAATAATTAAAATTACAATTAAATCTTATAATATAATAGTGTGTTTAATTAATAGACTAAATATTATTTATTGCTACATAACTCTTAAATACAAAACTTTGTTATATTATTTAAATAATATTGGTTTATTTTATGAATCTGTTTTTTGTTTAAAGCTACAATAATTTTTATTTGTTTGTTTAATAATGTTATATGTTGCAACATAATAATTTTGTTATAAAGACAATTTTATTAAATAAATAAAGTATTTTCATTTTTGTATACCTTCTGTAAACAATATTATATAATCTCTTGAAATTACATTAAATACAAACTGCCTATACACAAGTGTGACACAGAAACAAAGCACAAGCTTTTGTTAAATTACCAAAGTTATTTTTATTTGAATTCCAGAGTTAAATCAATGTTGAATAAAATATAAAATTACCTTAAGTATTTGATGACAACAAAACAATGGTTATTTTATAAGCATTGTTACAGCTCGTAAACTGTTACATAAACTTTGGCTTGTTGCCAACTAGTCCACTGGTTTATTCTAAATCAGATTCTTTTTTTAGACTTGTTTTATTGATAGTGGCAACCTTAGGTGATCTATAGTTTCGAGGTGCTACAAATACGTAGGTGTTTTTATTTTCATCTGAATATTCTATACAGGGTGTTTCTGAAGTGTGTGAGGTAATTAGTATACGCATACTCACTGTGATGCCACACTGAAGATTTTTTTGGAATTTTTTTCTAACTTTAAAAAACCCAGATTTCTAACCGTTTTTCAGTTTTTGATAAGATTTTTTTTAATGAACTCTGAAGCTCTCAAAAACGTTTACGGCTGAACGCCTGGACAGTAGGTGTTTTAAATTTGCATTCAATGATAAAACATTACATAAGAAAAACGATTCTGATCGGAGATTGTCTGTTAACATAGTATCATATACATGTATAGCTATTAATTATTATAATAAAGTATTTAACGATTTAAAGTTATGCAGTATTAACCATAAATAGGCAATTGCCAATTGCATACAATTAACCTTAATGTTTTGAACGTTATAATTTTTCACAAATAATATTTCAAAATAACAACAAAATATTCGAAATCGTTATTCTCTGTTAAAATATCTAACATTTTGTCAAAATTTTAAATTAGAATGTTTGTAAAAAAAAAAGTGTTAGTGTATTTTGCTGGCTATTTAAATATGATAACAAATTTTTTATTATATAACTAGTTAAAAAATTGCAATCATTGGTCAAATGCAACCACAAATAATATATTGAATGATATTCTATCGTTAAATCATTATGTATTACACAATATAATAAACATTTATTATAGAATAATACGCAGGACGCAGGTATAGATTTTTATCAAAAAAAAAAAAATGATGTTTAAAAATTCTTAGGTATGGAACATAATAATATCAATCATCATGTACAATATTATAGTTAATAAATTAAAGGCCGTATGTATCCAAATACGAAACTAATGACGTTCGTCACGCACCAACAACTTATTTTCAGGTTCTCCGTTGTCGTCGCAATCGTTGAGATTTCGTTCGTCCAGTGGTCGCATTTCTGCGAGCTGCTGGCGACCATATAAATGCAGTAGGTCATAGTCCTTCGAAGACTTAAAAAATATGAGGGCCACACATAGGACCGCGATGAATGAAACGTACGCGCCTATAGTGACGACACCCGGCAACAAGGTCGTGGCCAATGAACTTTTGAAATGACTGTATTTTTGTTTCGTGCGCTCTACGAATTTCAGATTTTCGCCAAACGTGACTTTGATCTGTTTCGGCAGTGGGCCCAGCTGGGGTAACGATGACTGCGACACCCTACAAATGATCTGCGTGCTGTCCATCCAAGTGTCCAGGCAACGAGGGGACGAGTTGCCGGGTACCTGCAGTACAATGGACAAGTCCTCGGCGGCCAAAATTTGGACCGGGTACAGACCATTTATGGTAACATTACAGCAACCGTTGACCACGAAGTCCGTGAAAACCGGATCCTGATAACGACGATAACGGATCACCTCCGTTGCATTGACCCTCATTTGTATTCCTGTAGAGTTTTTAGCGTAAAACCGCAATGGTTCAACTTCAGATGCATTTTCCGGACGGATGTTGAGCTTAGGAGACCGGCAAATCACGAGTGTGTCGTTCTGGACATTACAGTTGCTGCACGATATTTTGTTTCTGACGCAACATTCAATGTCCCGCAAGCCGCAAAAATGTTTACCATGCACCCGAAAAGTGTTGCCACCGGACTCGATACCGCCGAACACTTGGCCGTCGTCCACAGTTGGAACGACTGGAAAACGGTTGTTATCCACTTGACTGCAGCCGAGAGACTGGTATGATTGAATTATCGTTTTCGGCGTTACAGAATAACTATTTACGATTGGATCTTTGCCGGGACATTTTTTATCGTCTCGAATGACAGTGGTACTCAAGTGCACGAGACTCGAAATATTCCGTACGTCACAGTACTGGTACGGTGTTATGTCGTCCGCGGGAGTGGCGTTGTTCACCAAACACCAACTACAGAAAAATCTGTGAGTGCCGTTGTTCCAGTGACAATGCGGGCATTCCATTTTTGGGCAATTGCCATCCAACGGGTACGTGGTCACGTAGTAGTCGCTTACGTTGTCGAATCGCAACAACTTGCCATCGAACACGATCAATAAATGATCGAAGTGCGGTACCGACTGCTGGCACGTGGTGTTGTACCGCGGTATACTCGTCGATTTCGTGGAACAAGAGATTCGGTCGCCGTCCATCTCGGCCGTGTAGTTATTGTTGTCCAGCTGACACTGGACGCTGCTGTTGGCTAACAAACGGACGAAACCACCTCCCATGACCGCGTCATCAATCATAACCGTAACCGTGATTGTCTGGACTGCGCTGACTTTATTGTTAACCGAAAACTTTGGACAGGACGACCCGTTGGTGACCACCATCGGGCTTCGCACTGTCCCCGCTGAATTGTCCTTGCAGATCTGTTCGGCAACGAACCAGCTGCATCCCGACATCGTCGCTTCCGTACACGACAAGCACGTCCAACGCTCCTTGCACGTAGTTCAGTTGGTGGTCGTGATTCCGTTCGTGGTAGTGGTTCCGGTTCTCAACAAATCAATCTCTGCGAGAACCTGGTGCACCTGCAACTGCAATATTATATATAATGCAACGGTTAAGGTTAATGTCATAAATTGTATAATATAGTATTTAATATATATATATATTTATTAATAACGTTATTGTCTTTCGATCTAGGAATACGTTTTAGCAACTGTAATATTATTATTAATTATATTATTGTTTTACCACAACTACGGATAGAATACATAATCCAAGTGCGGTAGGTTAAAGTATATAATGTTAAATCAATATCATATAATAATAAGCACCTACGTAAATACAACTTCTTATGCAGCACAGCATAATAGTTACACTAGTAGGCGGGAGCTTTATATGACAGAATGATATTAAGTTGATAATTACAAAAATATTATATACGTACTATGGTAATTAGGAATAAAAAACTATTCAATGATGAATTCTTCCAGTTATTCCGAAATTTCAATCTTCGGCTGACAATCATGTCACTTGAGCAACGTGCGTTTTTCTGAAAATAAAAGATCATACCTATAATATTCCATGAAATTAAAATTTTAGATTACACAGTAAATAAATGTATACAACTATGTAACGAATTATAATGTAATAAACTTTTTACATTGTAGGTACTAAATTTTTAAATGTAATTCCCGAGTTCATGCAATGTTGATTTTACGATCGAAGGGGGTACTTTGAGTATTGGTCAAAAACAAAATAACTGGATACAATTTGATAAATATTTTAATTGCATAGTTATTACTTATTAGCTAATATATTTTATTTTATATTTATGATATTTAATTTTGCACAAATGAAATACACTAAACTAATTAGTTGATTTATGACAGTTGTTAGTTTTGCAAATAAAAATACATTATTAACCTCATCCGGAGTACTCTAACGATCCCTTGTATGGTTTACCCTTTTGATAGTTTACTTGAATTAAATACAATTATTTTTAAGAATGGTCTCAGACTTTGGTATTTGTAATATATTATTTACACACATGCCTTGAACTATTTTTTCTACCCAGTAAGCATGATATATTAATATAGTGTATACCAGGGGCAGCCAAACGATCGATCGCGGACAATTTCAAAGTCGATCGTGTTAGAATTTATTTTTATAGGGACACTCGTACGAAAATTAATCGAGGTTGTAGTGAACAAATTGTCGATAAGTTTTATCAGTATAATTAAAACATTTTTCTATGAAATTCGATCCTCAAAGGTAAAGTATATTTTTATTAGATCGGGACCAAAAAAGTTTGACCACCCCTGGACCTGGAGTATACTGTATACCTAATGTAAGTTAATGCTTAGACTTTACTATATTGATATTATACATACATAATAATTAAGATATCCAGACTGTAATTTAGTATTAACACAAGTTATTTATAGTTTGACCATTGATTTTATAATATTATAAAATCAATGGCCTAACGCAGTAGCATGTAATATAGGGTCCAAGTTCTCCAAGTGTACTCAAGCAGTACCTTAAATATTGGTGGGTGGATATAAATAGAAGAAAAATAGGATATTTTTTAGGTAGGTTTAACAGAATTACGAGGAGTAGGGCGCCTACAATTATTTGAACAGTACCAATTTTTACTATGATTCATGTCACTGGCTCGACGAGCTTTTAATCGAATAATTAATAGTTCAAAGTTTTCCATCTACAAAACATTGAGACGAATCAATTGTGTTTTATTGGTGCAATTTTTTATTAGTATTTTCAGTTGAGTTTTTTATTTACAAAAACGACATTAATAAATAGTTCTCTAGTTATTTATATTACAAACAATATTAGCTATTTATTTGATCTCTAACTAAGAATTATATTTTGGAATTATTTGTAAAAAAATTACTTGTTGAATCTTGAAGATGATCTAATTTAAAATATGTTTTTGTTTATTATATTTTTAACATGTGTAATTTAAGTTTATTATGTTAGTATTTGTATTTATGAGGTTTTTTTGTTATGTATACACTATCAATACAAAGTAGGGCTACTTATATTTTACATTTACAATTTTCGTAAAACAAATCAATATCAAATGTTGATTTTATAGACAATTACGCATTTATAATTATTTCAGTTAATTATAAAACATACTCTGGTTCATTACACACGCATATACATTACATATTATATTTTATACATATATACCTACCACGAGAGGATTAAATGCGGCTCCCACCCACGCCCGGTATTTTTAAGAGGGCCCGAAAATGTGGGAATACTCAATTTTTTTTAAATTTAAGAAACAACAAAAATAAGAATTTTATGAATATAGCGGGAAAAATTAATCTCTAACAATTACCTGAAAAAGTTAATTATAGATAGTCTAAAATAGTAGGATGGCCGTAAATCCTTTGCCCATCGTCTGCATCGTCCTGCACCAAATTATCATACATAAAATGAGCAACAATAGAAGAGTACAAAAAAGAATATTATATAATACCTATATAATGTTTAAGGCTAATAAATAATTTTAGATTTGTAAATTATAAAAATTATAAAGACACATACATTTTAATTTTTGCTAAAAAACTATATGTTGCAATATACATGTAAATGGGTATAAGAAATGATAAAAAAATCAATTTTATAAAAATTAGAAATACCTATACAATATTTGAAAATTTTAATTTTGAGATGTGTACATTTTTAGATTTAAGTTGGAAAACAACTTGAGCTTTTTGTATACTCCTTTTTTTTAGTTCTACTGTGAAATCATATTGATGCGCAAATGATGTATACGACCTTTTAAATGGTTGATGCTTAAGCGATGTATAACCAATAATACGCAACTGTTTACAAAAAAAGTCAAAATTAACAATAATTATGACAACCGGCGCAAAAAAATATTACCCTACTGGCCTAGGTTTCTCATTATCTCTCCACGGCCACTCATATCATGTTGCTATGGAATTATTGTGCTGCAGATGTTAGTAAAGTTACATTAAGATGTCGTGTATACAAGTATACAACCCAACGAATGACAAAACCAATGATTGAAGTTCAATCGATCACAGCCAACTATTTTGTTACATAAGAATTGAAAAAAATCACGTACGAGTATACAGTTTGGAGTAAATAGGAATGTAAGTTAAATTATGTTGTAAATACATGTCGTCAAAGAAAAAAAGGCTGCACATTTAAAATGTCTTTATTCTTTAAATAAGTCAAAAAGAATCAAAATATTTTTAAAATTATACCGTACAATGTAGAAAATACTAATACAAACATTTTATGAAAATATACCAAGTATCTATATAGTTGTTCTTTCTTGAATTATAACGAAATAATAAAATCGATTTGTCAAAAACTGGTCTTGCGTAAAAAACTTTTTTTTCTCATAGTACCAGCTAGATTTTTTGTCAAAAACTGCTCTCAAAGTTGAACATCAACGCATTTATTAATATAAGTCATCTACTCCTACACTAAAAAAAGCACACCCGTCATTGTAAGATCTGCACAATACGCTCCACTCCGCTCAGAATCTAAAATACGAAATAAAACGTACTCTATTATAATACGATGTTGGTAATGAATTAAGTAGGTACCTATAGTCAACATTTAGGTCGGTTGGTCCAATAGGCCATTGCGGTATAGTTGGTATTTTAAAATAACTTTGAGTTCCATTAATGTCATGTACACTTTTAACACACTTGCCTCTCATTCCTCCTCGCGAGCTGACCTATACGACGTGGACGGACGCACATTACAACTTACAAACTTAAGTACAATACGTACCGGTAGTTGTTGTTTCCGCTTCAAACTCACGTGGCACACGCCTATTGTATTGGCACGTGCATGACCGACCACCGCACGACCACACCACTGAATGGAAGATGTCTGTAAATGATCTCCAACCACGCGATCAGACCTAAGATACCTCTCCGGCGACATAATATCACCATCGCCGCCTAATGGTGCAGGCGACGGTGATCTGCATGTACCAGGCATCACCGGAGTTTCCCGAGTGTCACGAACGGTGGCCTCCCATGCCGAAAAGTATAATATTGATGTACCTGGGGACCAGGCTATAGCAGTGCGGGATCACAGTTTTCACGAGGTGCTGGTCGAAAGATATTCAAACCGCGAGCAAAACGACTACAACTGCAGCACACACATCATCGGTTCCCCGAGCTCGCCGATGTCGGACGGCAACCACAACAATAATAATAATATATAGGTATAGGTATGTATGTGCTCTGTGTATGACGTTATGTTGTATAATGTGTATAACTACCATACATAATATTCCACAGGAAATACTGACCTACTGTCGACAAAACGATTTGGTTTTCATCGATTTAGGAAACCGTAAACATGATGTATAGAAACCTATACAGACGCAAGAACCTACCAATGATCGTTTTCACCCTCTCGTTGTTACAAAAATACTTCGATGAAAATAATAATTCATTCGTTCAACGAGAAAGTAGGATTTCCCAAATACCTGTACACGCACAAAGTGGGATTGTTTTTATTAACACAATCAGTATGATTACCAAGGTATTGATTATTGCATTCAAATTTTTAATACACAATATTTATTTATTAAATTAATTTAATATTATATACATATTATGCCAAGCAGTCGCCTGAAAAATTGATTAGTTTAATGTTTCAATAGAATTTAATGAACTAATCACGGGCCACTAAACTATCTTCAATGGACCATTTAGCTCATTATAATTAATTAAGTGTTTAATGATTGTTCATGCAACTCGACATTAGTCGTTTTAGTAAACTTACTTGCTTTTAATATTATAAAAATCATATAGGTGGAAACGTGGTCAATATTAACGATAGAAAATAGTATTGGTAATAAAAGGAAAGGTACACTTTTAGTAGAAACGGGAGATTTACCGCTGAATGTCATTAAAGATTCAACTTCTATAATAGAGAGCCTCACTAAAATTAAAATTACCTATAAACCTACAACGATATAAACATTAAACAGTTGTACTATTATATTATATATAACATATGATTTCATTTTATTACTAAAAATGTGTAGGTACCCAACTATATTACTTAACTATACTATTTTATAACTTAGGTACTAATACTAGGTATGGGTAGGTAATTATATTAGAACCTTTGTTTTATTAAATTTTCTAAATATTTATTAAAGTTTCAATATTGTTTAAAGTTTCCAATATTAACAATTATTTTGTTGTATAACCTTCTTGCCTAAAGTATGTAATACAATTATTAAAAAGTAATATCTTGTATGTTTAAATTAATCCTATAAATTGTAATACAGTATATAGTCTAGATTTGATTTTGAAATGAAAATTAGCTAATGCAATTTTTTTCTAAAACGTTATGCAAAACTATTGAATGTAATAGGTATGACTGAAGTGGTTCATTAATTATCAATTCATATTTCACATGTCTCATTTTATGTGTATACATACAAATAGATTTTAAATCCAAACAGATTACGATGTAATTAATATAAAATGCACCAATAGCACTAAAAACTTTTCAATTTTTCTGAAAATTGTTTTGTATTATAGTTTCAAAAATAAAAACTGGTGTATCGCAAAGAAAGTAAAATAAATTACAAATCCGAACTAGTACAAAATGTTCACAAATAATTATTTTATATTTAAAAAACAATTTTAATATTTGTATAGTAATATTATTAAATCTTACTGGTAAGTCGGTGTATAAATAGCCAATATACATATTATAGTGTATATACCACTTTACATACCTATCGTAATGAATAAAAATTCGTAAAATAGGTCAATTTTAAATTAAATAAATTACTTATCCAAATTAATATTAGGAAACTAATTTTATGTCAGAAGAGAATAAATAAATTGTTAGTTATAAATATAACTTTAATATAATATTGAAAGGATTAAGTTTATTGATGTTGTCCTTTAATTTACTATACATCTATAAACATAACCATTGTGAAGAATGAAAACGAATTATAGAATTATTAATTTGATGCAATAAGTATAAAATATTTTGTTATATTACCGTTTATTGTAGACAAATTTGATTCCTTTAATTTATGAATGAGCATACGCGAGTATAACAACAAGATTGTTTTTGTTATGAAATGAAACACTGTAGACAAACGTGACGCATGATAGACAATTTGAGTAGATGGAATTGACAGTATTTGGAATGAGCAGTAAATACATACTGATTTTATTACTGGAGTGATAGGATATAGGCATTTTGGCTCAATCGTTAACCCGGTGATGACGTCTTTTTTAATTTAATTTGATTTTTTTTTTTTTGAAACATTGATTATTTTAATGATATTACAATGCAATTAAAATTTGGACCAAAACTACTTATTTATAATAAAATTATCAAAATTGTAATCAATTAAAATAATTATATTATAATATATTTTTATAGTTAACAGTCTTATTTAATATTATCAAAATCTACAAACTGTTTTATATAGGTTAAACTTATGGCTTAATAATTATAGTAATTATTTTAATTTCGAGTGTTAGTTGTTATATATGTAACGTTAACGTTGTAAGGCAGCATGGCCATATACAAATTATAAAATTATAGTAGTTTTAAGACGAATATGTAGTTCCTATTAAGACCAATATCCATGCATATGTCATATACCAACAAGTAGTATCTAATTAAATAATAAAATATGTATAGAGCTCAGTCGCGATAATATTATAATATTGTCATTAAAATGGTTGAGACAGAAAGCAATAATATCGTTCAGCTTAGTTTTCACGATTTATTATAATCTAAGTACCTAAATAATAAATAGAAGCAACGTTGCGCCCAAACTAAATAATTAATATTTATGTTCGTCAATCTCATTTTATTGTCTGACTCATATTATTGAATTTTTTATATTTGTAAGTCACAGCGTTGCGTCACATATTATAGATGTACCATATACAAAATATTAAAATGGTATGAATAAAGAATAATGCTATCATATTATCAAAATATTCCGATTTTCAGTTATTAGGTGGACGTAGTTTCGTCTCAAAAATGTTTTTATACGTCGATTAGCTTGACGTCATTCTGTCAACGAATATAATATATACCTAATATAAATGATAAATAATACGAGATGTTTTGTATTATTTTCCAGCTGGTATTCGAATAACAGTGGCTCGATTAAAAATCTAAAACAGCCCGAGAAAAAGTCTCAAGCTTGCATTTTTGATTACGATGCATCACAAATCAGTGGCACATCTACGAAGAATATAACAGTCAATACTCTAATACTATATAATTTCTGGCATAATAATAAAAGATTACTCTATCCTACCGGATGGAATACAACTAATTACATCGTCCCCACATAAATGTATTACACATTATCTTCAATAAACCGTATAAAATTGATTAAATTAAAATAACATTATATTTAAAAAAAAAGCATTAGCCATCAAGGTATCATAATTATATATATACCACGTGTGGTTTGTCTACACAATACATGGGCAATGGAAACAAGGAACACATTATAAGCGTAACTATAGGTATAGTAACATAAGCATAAGAAACTATAGACTACTTGGCCATCAATTTTTCTGTAGTACCTGTATGGCTATTATGTAACAAAAAGATAAATCAATATTATGTAGTATTATATTTATGGATTGTGGCATTTTAAGTGTGTCAACTCACGGCCATAATATAGTACTCAAATTTATGGTATAATCATGCAAGGTATGCAAATTACACATTCATTTACTGTGAATTGTGATCTTAATTTAAATCTTGGAATATTGTTTTTTATTTATTGATCTAAAATACACTTTGACAGCATTCGCCATTAGTGATGTAATTTTTTTTTACTTAAACTAGCTTTTTTAAATTTAAATTTCATAGGTTTATTTTTCTTGATAATAATAATAAATTTTGGTTTGTTTTAGATTTGGGTCCTGACACAGCATCTAAGCCAATTCTGAGGTGTTCAGTATTTTGCATTCTATTGGAGTTCATCTTTGTATACTCTAACGACACTCCGTCAGTAAACTAATATTTCACTATTAGCGGCAAGTACACAGCAAGTTTCGCATATAAAAATAAATTTAATGTTACGTTAAATCGGTTCTTGGTAAAGTTTGTTATTCCCAATGGTCACTAGTCACCTAACTGGGGATAGGGCAATACCAATAAGTACCTATTTTTTCCCTTATCACAATTTTTTTAAACAACATAATATATAAAGTTATCAGCCAGTAAAAGGGATGAAAGTAAAATGCGAAAAGTGCAAGTTTAACAGCCATTATCATGATACGTAGTTCAAAGATAATAATGTCACCGTGAAGACGAAATATAGTTTTGCTGCTATACTGTTGTAATAGAGCCATTGCACTATAATATCATACAAAACATAATAATATGTGCCCATAAAATACACCGCCTAGTATTAGTACATACATGTATGTAAAAAAAAAAACTATACCTACAACTGTAGTACGAAATATTATGATGAATATTGGATGTTAATTGAATATTCATAATACTATATAAATATCGAGAATGCCAGTTATACTGGAATACTGTAGTCATACTGAAAAGTGAATAGTAAATAATAATGACAATAAATTATCTTAAATTTGGTATTTTTTCCACCGTTAAAATGGCCACCTAAACTTATTATTCATCAATATTAGGCATTTAATTATTTAATTATTTGTCACGCAATTTCATATTATTCAATCAAACTCGAAATTTCTCTTGGTGATTTTTAATAAAATTATTGCGATTATAGTCTACAACGGACATTAGATATCTACATTAGATACTTACTAAATTATAATAACAATATGTAAGTAGTCAATATTTGTGATTTCTAAATTATCTGAATTTTAAGTTTGAACGTAGCTGCCGAAGTATAGCCATAATGTTATGTTACCAACTTTATCTTTGGTTAAAGTGTTAAACCAAAAACAATATTATTCTTAAGTACCTGGAATTATTGCATTAATTAATACTAAAAATAGTGAATAAAAAAACAGTATTTCAAAAATCATAACTTATGACTCATAAGTGTATAAAAGTATATCTATGGAAGAACAAAAATACATCGAGCACATACGTAAGTACACATAGTATACATGGCATATAAGATCCGTTTCAAATAGGTGACATGTACAACATAATAATTATTATGATAAAAATTTAAATAACATAAATCCTGTTCAATTAGGTAACTCCTACTGACATTGATGAACAGCTCAAAACGATTCACATAATAATATTATAATGTGCGCATTATTTTATACAAGTAGTGAAAAAAAAACATGTACATAAAAATTAGTTCCAGTAATATATTTGTTGATTCCATCATAACTCAATGCCTGGTCTTCGGCTTCTTGCCGGTGTTCGAATTCAACAAATAATCAGTGGTGTCGTCTATGCCAGCCGTGATGTTTCGGAGTTCTCCTAAGTATCGCTTATCCAAGTGCTGCTTAGAATAGCTCATTATTTTCTTTACGCAGAAGATCAGTGCAAATACGCAAATCAACAGGGACGAAATACCACCGACAACGTATTGCGGACTCAGTAACCGAACGATCGCATAATACTGTTTGTGTCTCCTGTGCACTACGGTCCGTTTCACTTGTTTGCCGACTGCGATCGCGATCTCTAGGACATCGGCAACCGACTTGTCGGACGGTGCCCGGCACTCAATGAAGTTCCCTGTGACGTTGGTCACGGTTAACCTCTCGTCGTCGCCCACCTCGTCGACAAGGAATGTCACTTCGAGCATGTAGCTGCCGTCAAGTTGGCGGCGCTGCAACAGGTCCGGAAACACGCCGTCCACGCGGACGACGGTGCCGTCGTACACTTCGAAGTCCGTGTAAACCGGGTCGGGGTGAAGCATGTAACATGTCTGTTGTGGCAAGAACACGACTTTACCAGCCAAATCCGTACGAAACCCGAACGGAAGACACGTCACCTGCACCGGATCGTCGAGCTTCGGTGGCCAACAGTCCATCATCGCTGCAGTGCCATTGGCGGTGTTGCTCAGCTCACAGTGGCCGTAGTACTTTGTGTCGTTGTAGTCGACGTACATCTGCTGGTTTTCCGTGCACTCAAAACCACCTCGGACAGTCAACGGGACGACGCCAGATGCGATACCCTCGAATACTTGACCGTCCGAGACGAATGGGTCGTCCACGTACTTGAACTTTTTATTTTTAAGAAACCTGCCAACCCAACTTTCGAACGAGATTTGCAAAGGACCTTCCTTTGACCCATCCGTTTTCGCGTTGGTCACGCAGTCGATGTGGTCGCGCGCTAGTTCGACGATCTCGCACATCACTTTCGTTGTCGTTTTATTGAAGAACACCTGGACGTCAGCCGTTGCGTTCAGATTCTCGCCGGTTAGTTCTATCCGGGTTCCACCCGAAGCGGGTACGCACATGGGGCTGACTCCCGTAAAGAGTGGTCTGACGAACCCGAACTTTTGCACAGATTTCAGCGATACCACGCTCGTCAGCCACTCGTACTCGATTACCACCAAACCCTCTTTATCCGCCTCATTATCGGTACTGATGGTGCAATTTACCGTCTGGCCGTCGACCGTGGTAGGGTCGGTGCAACTCTCTCCGGCCACGGTCACTGTCGTCAGCCGACCAACGGCCAAAATCCAGTGCAGGTTCTTGACGGTTATGCTAATCACCACCGGCGTTTTTCTCCTGTACAGCATCGCGACTGGTTCGAAAGACTCGATCGCAGCGGCAGAACTCCTGATTTCCATCGCGGACAACGAGGATTCGTCCTTCCATTTCTCGTTGTTTATCGCGTTGCGTACGTCGCAACTGTTCAGCTGTTCGCCTGTTATCTTGCAACCGTCGTCTTTTGAACACCATTTACAGTAATATTTTCTCGAATCGCTTTCCCAATAACGGATAGTACAATTTTCGTTTGGGCAGGTCCAACCGTGATGACTGATGTAATGGTCTCGCGGATCGTTGAATTGCAATCGTACGCCGTTGACAACGATTGAAAAATAAAAAATAAACAAAGGATTGGTTTTAGTTGTACTTTGTTCTTCGGGAGGCATAGTTTTTTTTTCTACCCATTTACAAGTAATTACTCCATTATCGATTGAAGCTTTATACGTTGCATTTTCTATTTCACAACTGATATTCCGGATTTCATTAAAAAAATTGCTTACACTTTTTACCCCGATATTCGAGACAGTGACTCGTATCGAATGATGATTATCATAGGTCACGGCAAAATCTGGGCAAAATTCTTTTGTTTTGGCGATGAAATTCCCGGATATACTTTGATCAGTGTAGTAACAAATTTGTTTATCCACCAGCCAACTGCAAATAGATGCATCAGTACATTGTGTGCATGATCTATAAATCGTGCAGTTGTTTTCTTGACTTGATCCACCTTCCATTAAATGGACATTGTCCGCGAAAATTTCCACACTTGATGTCAACTGTAAAAAATATATTTATATATATTGTATATTCCGCACCTTCTATAAACGATCGATGCAATTTTCAAAATATATATTGACTTACTTTATAAGCTATTTATTTACCTATACTTACAACTAACCTGAACTTATTACACCGTTCTATATGGTACGTCAGTATAAATTTATAAGTGATAATGTGGACAAAAATGTCAACTCCCCCAAAAACGTTTTACTATCCGTTAAAAAATTGAAAACACAATTTAACGTAACCCAGAGGATATCACTATTATCATTCATCACGTGGAGGCGTTATCCTCCAGAAATATTTGTATTTTGCATAGCATTTATATTATTTTTTTCATATTTTGCATTTTGAATAAATCATATTCATCTTTCTGCTAGTTTTGTTATAATCATTTTTATCGATTTCGTAATTTTGATTATTTTTCTATTGAGTAATAATATATAACTGTTTTTATATTCTGAAATCTAGTAATGTTTTGTTTATTAAGATTTTGTATTTTAGCTGGTCTAATAATTGTTGTCGTCTTTTACATTTATTATTTTCGAAATTTTTTGATTTAGGCACATAAAAGCATTTTGCACAGAAAATAGAAATCAAATGTTTCATCTCTATTTAATATCTCATATGGAGAAATTAACATAAATATATTACAATATTTAACGTTTTTAATTGGTTTAATTTACTGTATCTATAATTATTAGAAATTACTGATAGGCAATAAATATATTTTATGTATCATGTATAATACAAATTAATTTAATCTATCCATAAATATTTTTAGAGGTTAATAATTCTTTTCAACCAGAATCGTGAATCCTAACTACCTATACAATAATTGGCTTCAAATTTGACACATATATTACAGTAACGAAGTACACTTAAAATTTAAAATACAGAACAATACAATGCAACTCCCCGGATTTTTCATATTTATTTTTATATTCCATTACATATGGGTAGGTACTAACAATATTTTATTTCTCGGTAATTAATACATCGACTTTTTATATTTTGTGTTTATTCAAATCTATAGTTGTAAATGCGTAATTCGTATACATCCTCTGACTTGACCATAATAAATTAACATAAAAACAATAAACTCAACAAGTCGTTATTTCAAATTATTTGTAAAAACAAAAAACATTGTTTATTTAATTTTTTTTTTAATTCTAAGCAAAATCATGTGTGTAATTTTAGAAATAAAAAAAATCCTATAAGTCATAAATAAAAATTAATTATATATTTACAACCATTAACCTCAATGTATTTTTAAGTTCAATACTTACATATTTTAAGTTATTTGTTGTAAGTATTTAAATTGAGCTTAATCTGCATAATCGATAAAAAAAAATGCATACAATATACCTACATACCTTATTTAACCCATAATATTATAATATATACATTTTAAGCCATGGAAAGTATGCTTATATAATAAAAGATACGTTATTATAAGTGTATTAAGTTCTAAGGTCTATAAATAGACAATACATGCAAGCTCAAAATGTATTAAATTATATAATCTTAGTATTAATACTATTAATATTAATAAATTAACAAAAAAATTATCTTAAGTGAAGTTATATCATAAAATTTAAATGAATACCATATATTATATTTATGTAGAAATAATTGATGCACTATAATTAAAGTTGTCAAAATATAACTTACCAGTAAAATTGCGAACAGGAATCTGTTACTTGAAGAATCGTTCCAATTGTATTTGTGTGGAGTCATGTAACGTCCGCCGGCAAACATGGTATTGAAATTATGTACGTTCTTCTGAAAATAAACAATTATATAACGATACGAACATAAGTAAATTATAATCAGGCAAAAAAATTGTACTACCAAAGTTTTATTTTGTTTTATTTCTATATAACATATTTCTTTATTTTATATATTGATTTATTTGAGCCTATTTATAAGTTTTTTTTTTGTTATAACTTATATAAGTATTAGACTATAACATTTTTATATTGCATATTTAAACATTGAAGGTTATCTACTTATTAAAATTGGCAAACATATGACGTGTGTTGAGTTAGATTTGTCCAAAGGATTTTATGCATTTGTGCCTACCTCACTCAGAGAAAATTGTAATCATTTTATTTTTTATCGACTTAATATTATATGTGTAAATTAAGGTTCAATCTACTCATATTTTTAAAAAGACACTCTATTATGTTATTCTCTGAAAGTTAATTCAAACGTAGACATTTCAAATATTGTCAGTAATAAATAATAAGATGAATTTTAACATTACAGTCGTAGATACACTTCATCCTCCACTACTTACATTTTTCTTTTCTTAACTAAAGTGATTAGTAAATTATAGTTTTATAATTTGGATTTTTATTAATTAGTCTTACACATTATTGCTCATGCAATATGTATAATTAATTATATATATATATATATATATATGTATTTATAACTATCGCTCGTTAATTTAATTGGTTTCATTTCATTTAATTTATCTCATAAATATAAAAGATTAGATGAATTTAAAAATGAGTTGTTAATATAAACGTTTTCTAAAATCTTTAAATTGAAATCCTGGAATAAAATTTAAAAAAAATATAATTTCATAATAAACTGCCCTAAAGTTATGAAAATGCTGTTGAATTAAGACTTCTTTATAATTTAATAAGTAATTAATTGAATTGACTTTAAACACAATAATTACACAATACTATATTACTTAGGTTTAGGATTTTAATGCCAATGCTTTTTAAATAAAAAAAATATAGAAAGATAATGGTTATATAGCATACAAGAGTAATTCATTTAATTTCCATTTTTTCTCCTATTAGTGTTTTCTTAAATTTTATTATATAAATAAATACTTTTTTCCCGATATTTCGTGGTAAATTATCAATTTTTTAAAATAATTGAAATGAATACATCGTAATATAATTTTTTCAATACGGCCGAGCTCTTTTATTATAGTTACACCTTAACACGTTGCAGATATCGATACATCATAAATAACTGGTATTTTAATAATATTTAAGAAAATATGGAATTACAAGTCTTTACTTTCTTTAATCAGTTAATTTTGCCAAGGCTAGGTAATGCGAGTTAGTTAAAAGTTCTTACTGTTACAATTTATTCATAACATTTTTTTAAAACTAAAAATGATTCAATATTTAAATTAAAAAAATTATTTTGTTTTACATTTAAAAAGCTTTTTATATTTAAATGCATTTTTTATAATTATTTCTATAAATTCTGAACCCTACTTGTAAGTTGTAACTATTTCCTTATTTACGTATTACAGATACTTTTAAATATTCAACAATTACTGTTCGAATTGCTTTAAATGTTTTCTTTACACATTTACAATCACCCACAAAATATGGCAATATCTATAGTAATTTTTAAATAATAAGTTAGTCACAATCCCATATAAATATCAGTATCTCTAGCTTTCACAAGCATACGAACATTTGTTTTTCATTTTATTGTTGTAACATCGTAACAAAAAATGTTTTGTCTGTAGAAAATGTTACCATCTTAATTGTTAATACTATATAAATTACTATTCATAAATACTCGGCAGAAAATAATATGACATATACTGACCACGACACAAATTAACTATTATTCTAAATATGAAAAAAAATGACTTTTTTCAATTCTGTGGACGGGGTTGGGGATTAGGGAAAAGTATCTTTGGGGTGGAAAACGGTAAGCGGTCTATCCGTGTTTGACACCTAAATGGCTTTATGAATAATATATTACTATTTAGTATTTAATAAAACGAGTACTTAAGTAACTACCCACTTTGTATTCGGATTATGACGACGACAACGATGGTGATGATGGTGGTGGTCAGTCGATGGTGCAGCACAGTGTCTATGATGTCACTCAGATTTTGAAAACGACTGACTTCATTCCGCAACCTTTATGTCACTGCACCGCGTTTCACGATAACTCGCCGATCGTAATATTTTTATTTATTGTTTATTATTGACATTTTATTATTGAGCCCGACCGAACATCAGACGATCAACGGTCCCCACTCATTAATCGGCCTGAGAATGAATCACCTAATACAATAATAATATCTATCAGTGAATGCTCATATCATCATTATGACATTATTATAATATTATAGGGTTCCTACATAGTCTTAAAAAACCTCTCGTGAATATCATGAATGAACCCATTATGGTGCTCATTCATATTAATTTTATTTTATGTAAACGCACATATAGATTTGAAACGACTCTAAAAGTCTGATAAAAAAAACGATGACAAAAAAAATTTATTTGTAATGAATTCGATACAGACTCCCGGGTTAATAGAAAAAATATTGCCCACATACCCATGTATATAGCTACATAGTCTATACCTAAGCATTTACCTACAATATATAGAGGTTACATTTTTTGTTTTGTTTGCAACGGCTATTATAGTCTTCGAAACAACTAAACAGATTTCAGTCCCAGTTATCAATCCAATATTTTATAATATAATATAACACTACCTATAAGGCTATAATCTCTCTGTTTTAGAATGACCAAGTGATGTGAGTATGTGACTCATACCATCATCGAAATAGGAATTTGAACTGATAATCATAATATATAATAAATACACATTTTCCGAAGGTAACATAATCCTTAAATCATTTTTTTTGTTAAACAATTAATACTGAAAACTAGAAAGCCGGTAACTTTACTAAAGTAATTTTTAACAAATCCATTTTGGTAAGTTGTAACTTTATGACCTCCCCAGTCTCCACCGGCGTCATAAACTTAAAATTATAAATAAAACACAATTAATATTTGTATAATACAAATTATATAGTGCTCACGGAAATGTTGAGGAAAAAGAACGTATCGTGCGATTATATGTTATTAATTTGAAACTTAAAATAAAATAATATAAAACTGAAAACTGCAAAACGAATAACGCTGACGTAATAATGTATTGACATTCAACGAAAAAAAAATTATATTTTCGAATTTTATTCAGTGCACATAATAACATAAACAACAACTGCGGTCGACCAACTCATTACTTATAGTATAACATTATTATTTTTTGCCTACAAAATGCATTGACATATTATTAGTTATTAAGACGTGACTTTCGCGTTCACTTAAAATGTCTATAACAAAATGCCACTCTAGTTTTGGTAATCTAGTTAGATAGTGAAAATGTGTGATAAAATAAATTGATTTATAATTCAGACTATTAAATTTGGTACTTAATCTCTTTAAAAGTACGTCGTACCCGCAAATTATGTTGTATCCGTCCGGTCCGTTGCATAACTACATAAGCACCACCATATTCAAAAATCCAAAAAAAAATTATGCCGATGATTGTTATTCCGTTTGTACACATTTGTAATCCTAATATAAACATTTGTACACCCCCCTCCCCTAAACACCCCAAAAATATATAATTTCATAACTATTAAATATTAATAAATAATGATTATTTTATAACACAATGAAAAGAAAAAAAATATTTTAAATACGTATTTCAATACCCAGCCAAAAAATTATTTGAGTTCAAATACAAATACTTAAAAAAGTTTTTATAGAGACTTAAAATATTTTCAAATTTTGTATAGCATATTTTTGATCTTATAAATTAACTGAACCGACTTTCATGTTTTACGTTAATTTTATATGGCATACGTTTTACACCGCATCATTTGGTGGAACTTTAAAATACTCAACTGTTTTCTTTGTGGAAGTATTTGATTTTTCGTTGAGTATATATCACAGTAAAATAAATATATCATTATGTATATTCTCAATTTTTATTTTTATTTTTCGTGATCGAAATTAAAATAGAAATTATAATGTGAACTAAAAATAATTATTACTATCAATTATTATTAAATTAAGTATTTGAAATTCAGTATTTGATTTTAAGTATAGATATTTTGAGAAAGTATTAAAAAATAGTAAAATAATCTGTTGAAGTAATTTTTTCCAAAGTATTTAAAATACGTATTTAAGTATATACTACATATTATACGTGTTTGAATACTTTTACTCAATTACCTTTACAATACTGCTTTCGTGGAGCATTGTAAAGTTCAATTTCGATATTAATGCTATTAATTATTATTACCAAATTAAATGTAATTTATTTAAATTTAAAATACATTTTCTTAAATCATCTGGAACTTAGATCAAGATGGGAAGAAACTTAAAGGTAACAGGTTCAATAATTAAGAGATTATAAAATACAAGAATTAGATCATAGACGAAAATAGTCTAAGTAAATACCCTTTTACAATAAATTGGATATAAAAGATCAACTTTTCATACTCAATATTAAAGCCAATTATACATAAAACACCAACGTTGTAGAGTTTCTTGGGCTTGGAGTAACCCTAAATAATTGTACTCTTTGTTAAAAAGGTAAAAGATAAGTTATTACTTATTTCTATGTTTGATAAATTAACTGATTAAAAGCAAAACAATAGAATAATCGAAGTATTATATTATTCTTAGGAAACACACATTTAACTTTCATGAACAACATTAAAATGCTAAGGTTGATGTCCGACACCAAACATACTCAGAGAACCATATAATTAAAACTTAAATCAGCGCAACTAAAAGTATCAATATCTTAAAAACCGTAATCCATATCGAATGAGGCGCAGAAAGTAATGTCTTAATCGACTTAATCTCGAGGTCGGTAATTGGACCACAAAATAAATGTACATTTTTTAGGTGTACCCAGTCACTGGGCCATACATGTACAACACAAAAATATACAAATATACGATGTTTATTGACTGATTATTATTATTTTTCTAATAAATAAAAATACTATTATTTTATTTAGAGCTAGGATTTTGGTGACTTTTGCATTTTTTTTCCTTTAAGTGCTATACAGTTCTAACCAAAAACTAAATTTGTTTCGCGATACAACAATTTAGAATGTGTAACATTTACTTTGCATTTGTAGTGTAAAATGCATTTTATTGCATTTTTATAAATATTATTTTGTGTATCAATTTGTGTATTTAAACTAATTTTTGTTTAATTTAAGTTTTTTAGCCGTATAGGTAATCTCAATTAGTACCTATATTACCCTTATAAAAATAGCACCTTTCAACTTAAATCGTCAACATAAAATAATATTATCGCTGTTGTACCCGTTTTCGATAAAATTATTACCTGTCGAAGTGTCGACGAATGGAGAAATTCGAAACTATATTAATAAAATAATACTCCAAATATTTTTAAACTAGTATATTTGTCGGCAAAACTGAGTTGTCTTAGGTAAACTCACAAGTCAATTCAAATTTGAATATATTTGTTTAATTTACTTCTTAAAACAAATTTTTACCTTTTTTGTGTTGTACAAAAAATTAATAAAAAAATTTAAATTTAAAATTTTTTTCGCTCATCTAATCTAAGAACATGTTTCATAGTTTTTAGATTATTTTTGAGTATTTTTCATGTCATTAATATCCTAGCTCTCATTATATATATATTACCGAACGTGGATTGTATAGTACTCAATTTAACGGTCGCAATGTTCTATAGCCTTTGTATAACGCTATTTTTATTTATTTCATTTGATGGCAGCTCCCGCTAATTCCATACCAATTCATTACCTTTTGATAAAGCACACGGACGCTTCATGTAAAGTTGAATGTGCACTGCAGTAGGTATTGCAGTGATAATTTATATGACATATTAATTTAGTAGTGTTCCAATTACGGGAAACAATAATACAAATCGTCGAAAATAGTTGCCCAACCACTTGGTTTATATGGACACCAGGCCATTGTAGAATTGATGGCAATGAGTAAGTGTAGGTTAGGAGAAGCTGTCAAGAGTAGCACGAGAAACAGTAAATAACATTGTGACAGAAGTACACACCTAATCCTAACTTATTGACATCCATAGAAATGTCAGCACCTATTGTACCATTGTATGGGAATCCAAATGGCAAAGTACACTAACTAACAAGCTCAGCAAAAATAAACAATTATACATATACATATACATATATTATCTATGTTTCTTTACAAGCAGATCATTTGTTTTTTTTAATTTTAAAATTAAAAAGAAGAAAAACAATTAAGATTAAGTACCTATAAAGTAACCATTTTTTAAATCAAAATATTATGCATAATGGTGTTTAATAACGTTTAATATAATATTGCATTTACAAAATATATGTAGATTATAGATAGACAATAAGTAAAAAAAAATCAATCTTAACAAAAAATAATAAGCAATGTGTGGAGTTAACAGCTACATAAATAGGTAATTATGGGCTTATTATTTCTTCATATTTCTAATAGGTTACCTATGTAATATACCTAATCAATAATAATATACTATAGAATAGTGAATATTATGTTAATTATTAACCAGCTACAATATATTGCACTGTCCAATATCAAACATGTAAAAAATATTACTAAAATATGAAATTATAATAAACAAATAGTGTGGTGTATTTGGTTGGTAGTTAAACTATAATATTTCAAAGAAGAAATTCGGCAAAAAAATTACTTTCAGTCTTGTTTGACGAGCATACGACACACTTTGTTAACTACAATTGCAGTGTAACATAAAAATAATGAATTTGCTGATCACATCAAACGTTATCGGATAAGAATTGTCTTGAATAAACCAAATAAACATATAGGACTAGGCGAAAAGTTTTAGTAATTATGATGTACAAAAATATCTAAATAATTAAGTGTTAAATAAAATGTGTGTAATATGTACACAATCAGTTCTTATTTTAAACTAAATTAAATGGTTATCAAAGTTTAAATTGAGTTAGTGCCCATTTTTACTCTTTAGAAAACAATCTACATTATTAAAAAATGTTATAATTTTAATTTTAAATTGGGTTTCGAGCAATTCTCATACCTATAGATGACACTCAAAGTTAGTATTTACATTTTACAGGTCTTAGCAGACAAAATATGTTGAAATAACAATCAAGATGGGCTTATGGTGGAAGAATATTATTACATGAATGATGCTAAACAATTTAAATTG